CATATATATTAATATATAAAAATTCTTTGATAATATTTCTAATATTTTTAATTAATATTTAAATATCATTAAAAAAAATCTACTTGATCAAACATGAATCTTGTCATAGTATTTGAATTTGAAATTTCTAGCATTAAATTTGCATTCGAACTCTAATTTTAATAAATTCATAGTCAAATTGAGCATGTTGGTGTGACCAACTCAACAACAATAATCAAGTCTAACTCCAAATGAACAAAAATCAAGCACTTAATGAGGAAAATCCCAAAATCTTTCATGATTTTAGTCAAAAAGAGTATCTCAATGAGGGAAATCCAATGAGTTCTCGATCACTCAATTATATGATCATTAAGGTACTTAAATACTAAATGAATGTTCCATGATCACACCGGCTGTCTAATAAAGTGTTTTATAATTTTTGGTTAATTATCAAAATTTCACTCTCAATTACAACTTGTCCCTCATTTTTCACATAAATGATACATGATTTTGAGAAAGATTAGAGATCTAAAGAACACCAGAACCTTGTCCAACACTCGACATCAACAATCACTGACAATAACAACTGTCACTCAACAATTATTTCTCAATCTTCACCGTCCAACCACCATTGCCTACCCATCATACATTATCCTTTGTTGTCAAAACATAATCACACATCCGTCATAGCTCATACATCATCTTTGTAATATCATAGACTATCCTTTCATCATCCAATTATCATCACCAAGCCGATGTAGCTTGTCCACTACTACTCACTCGACTTACCATTTACATACAATCATTCCTCGATCACTTCCACTTAAACATTATTGACAATCTTCAGTGCATATCTAGTATTCTAAACCATATTCATAAGAAGTCAAGATTGTGTAGAATCTTTATAATATTATCTTCTCCAATTAAGGGAAAAAAATGAATCATTATAATATCTATTTACATAGTGATTCATTTCATATGGGCAAAAACCCATGGATTTTTCCCTTTTTAGTTTTTTTGTGCGTTGGCATCTAAAATTTTTACATTTCATGCTTGAGTTTAACTTGTTCAAGTTTCCCGTTAAGCTAATTCGGATTGGCCATTCACAATATATATCATCGAAACTTCACTAAGTCAATGCTTTTTTCTGAACTCTCTAGTTAATTCATAGGGTTGCAAATGAATTGAGCGTTTGATGAACTACTTGTGACTCGGCTCTATAAGGGCTTGTTCATGTTCATTTGATAAGGTAAACAAACGAGTTTGAACACTCTTGATAAATACTCTATAGCTAAATGAATGAGCTTGAACAACGTATCGTTTAGTTCATAAACAGTCTCGCTTAGAAGCCTGTAAAAAAGCTTGCTTAAAGCTCGATTATAACTTGACTACGAAGCTCGATTAGAGCTCAATTAGAGTTTTAAAAATAAATACTATTAAATCTACTAATTTAATAATTTATTTATACTACTTTAATATTTTAAACTTTAACCGTTTTCATTAGATTTTTTTAACTTATATTTTTACTAATTTTACTAATTAGAAATATTTTTATTAAATATTATACTAAAAATTTTATTAAACTAGTCAGACCAGCCTCAATTTATAAAAGTTATATTAAACTTTCGCCTCAACTCTAGCTCGGAACAAAAAAAAAAATTGTTTTTAAACTCCCACGAGCCCGGCCGCCCTTTCTCTCTCCTTTGTGGCATCAACAAACTCCAAAAAAAAAAAAACTATGGGGTTTAGTCCCACATCGTTTTGAAAGAAATGATTTCGCTATATAAAAACACATACATTTGGAAGCCATTTGCTGAATTGCTGGCGGCTTGGGCGGGTTTTCCTGGGCAGGACGGTAGACAAGCTGCTCGATTTGGTTTTAATAAGAAATTATTTTGTGAATTATTGTCGTCTCAGCTCGTTATATAGACGAGCCGCTCGATAAGATGCTCACAAGCATGAAATTAAACAAGCTCAATCTTGAACACAAGCCAAGCTCGAACGTGGTCATTTTAAACGAGCACGAGCTTAAACACCTATCCAAGAAGCTCGACGAGTCGAGCTTGAGCACAATTTTGACAAAAGAGTTTGAACTTGAACAGGTCGAATATCGACTCGGATCGGTTTGTTTGCAACCCTACTCATTCCCATAGATGTTTCAAGCCATTTAACTAAGAATTCAATCTTAATTTTAATCCTTTAGCTCATTCTATAAGTTCATTCCTAATTTAGCTTAGTTATAAAACTTCCACCAACCCTTAGCCTAAATTGAGTAAGGTGTGACCTTAGAATGATTATAAGATACTATTGGAGTTAAAAATACCATAAGAGAACCCCATTAATTATTCAATTTCAATTCATATCAATTAAATTCAATCTTAGATAGGTTTGACCTAAGCTATAACCCTTACACCAACCCTTAGCCTAAATTGAGTAAGGTGTGACCTTAGGATGATTATAAGATACTATTGGAGTTAAAAATACCATAAGAGAACCCCATTAATCATTCAATTTCAATTCATATCAATTCAATTCAATCTCAAATAGGTTTGACGTTAGTTAAGTCTAGAGTGGAACTCTTCCAAGCTTAATCCTAATTGATCCCAATGAACTTAATTAGTGCTATAAACATTCATTTTGTTCTCATTAGTTCAATAACTTACTTTTGCAATATGATTGACCATGAGATTCCTTAAGCTTGTCATGAGGGTCCAATTTTACTCAAATAATCAAGCTAGCCCTATTATCCTCAAACCCCGATATTCATTTAGTGATTTTCAATAAATGTCCAACCAACTAGCCAAATCTCTTCCATTGGGTCGAGATCACCAAACCATAGGTGAGTTGACTATAGTTAATTATTGGATTAGCTTGACACATTTGAAACCTTGCTTGACCTAATAATACTTTATTAGGTCAAGTAAATCTAGACCATATAATTAGTATTGTGGCGCCAAGAATGAAAACAAACAAAAAAACTAGACCATGGAATTGGATAATTTGATCTTAGCTAATCCTTTGAATTAGTCGCAAAAGATTGTTAATAACTTGATAGAATTAAATAGACATTTCGTGGAACTTGATTGGACCATTCACCTAACTAAGCCCAAATGTGGTTATTTCTCACTATAAGACCAAAACCTCCAAAATTCATTAAATTGATAAAATTGATTGCTTTCAATATAGTATAATGATTTTAATAGGTCAATCATGGATAATTATGCCCCAATTAATCCTTGAATGGACCAATAGGCTAACTTAGCCATAGTTGACTCATTTGACCTTTTAAGGTTAATTTAACAAATTTTACCATCTAAATAAAACTAAGCCAAGTCAAGCCTTATAAATCCTTTCAATTGTTTAGCTATATATTAATGAGGATTACTTCACATTGAACCAAGCCCAATTAGGCTAATTGGCATTTTTTTTATACACATGAACGTATTTAACCAAATTGGACAATTTGATCAAATTGATTAAAATCAATATCTAATTGACTTAAGCAAACTTTATATTTATGAAACAGACTTAGTTGTCCCTTTATTAATTCAATCAATCCTAACTGACCCAACTTAGCCTAATTGACCTATATGGTTCACTTAATCATTTGTATTAACTTAACATTAACTGATCAAAATGATGATATCAATTGGTTTAGATCATTTAATCAAACATCAATTGAGCCTAATTAACATTTGATTTGACGTAATTAGCCCAATTAGATCATTCATTATAAGGTAATCCAATATACTTAAAAAAATTCTTTTAGCTCATTTGGACCCTTTGGACCAATTTAATTATATTAGTTCTATTAGTTTTTATAAGTGCTTCATACATATTTTGACCTTTGGGAACTCTTTACCCTAGCTTACTCAATTGTTTAACCATTAAAAAAAGTCAAAATTAGCCCATTTATTGTTAAATATCATGATCCTATAAACTTATTTAGAGTTTGATGATTACAAGTATTATTGGTTGTGTTTAGTTTTAACTAATGAATTTGTATATCTAAAATCACTGCATTTGGATTACTTTACACCCTAAATGCTGACAATTAAACAACACCTAAGCTTCATAGGGTGAACACCGTGTCATGCAACTTGGTCTTTAATCCAAGAACCATTCACTAAATCGTCCTAGTAGAAGGGAAGACAAGTTTGGAGGCAAAAGCCATGTGAAAAAAAATAATAATGAGAAATATAAATTAGTGTCATCTAATTTGTACTCATGGAGATTTACCATTGAAAAAATTGGTTGATAATAGATTCTTAATTAAAGAACCCCCTGATGGTGGATACCATGAAATGTCCTATAAGGGATGTTATCATCATGTATAAGAGACATCAAATTCAAGACAATTGAGTGAACTTTTATTTAACTTTCATTCTCCATAAAATAGACAAGTTTAGTAAAAAATTTTTGATAATCTCATATGTATAGATCAAATTCAAACCAGTATCGAAAAGTTTTGGTTACTCCTCACTCTTTGTCACAACCTATTTCTCAAAGTTAATAAGAGTGATACATAATAAAAAACCAATATGAGAAAGTTTTGGTTACTCCTCACTCTTTGTCACAACCTATTTCTCATAGTTAATAAGAGTGATACATAATAAAAAATTATCTTGTTGGGCACGAATCTCAAGGCAAAAACAAGTTATAAACTTCAAAAATTAAATTCGGGACCATCTAAACTCTGATTTTAACAAATTTACAATCAAAGTGAGCATCTCATAAATACGAACCCAACGACACCAAAATCGACTCAATTCGAGCCCAATTGGGTCCAAATCAAGGACCCGAAGTGTTGTTAGAAGGTTCAAACAATAATTTGAATTACCAAATTATTTCCAAATATGACATGCTTATAGTCGAATCGAGCTGCTCGACGAGAAAAATCCAATAAGCCCAAGATCATAAAATTCTAACATCATTAACATCTACAAATGGCTAGTGAACGGTCCACAATCAAGGGATTCAACATTGATCATCCATCCAAAACACTCCATATTCCCTTGATCTTCCTCCTATTTACAGGCTAAAACACTCTCAAAATCTATAAATAGAGCCCCTACTTCTTGAAGGGGAGGGGACCCCAAGTAAGAGGGCAAGAGAGAGATCGGAGATCGCTAGCTCCTCCTCGACCGTCGCCCACCACCCGACGCCAGGCTTCTGCCGGACCATAGCCCGACGCCGGAGTTATGCCAGACCACCACAAGACGCCGAAGTTCTACCGGACCACCACCTGATGCCAGACTTCCACCGGACCACCTGACGCCAGAGCTCGGTCGAACCACCACATGATGCTAAACTTTCGTTGAACCACCACCCGACGTCGAAGTTCCACTGGACCAACGCCCAACATTAGAGTTCCGCCGAATCACCGCTAGAACTCGGGCTTCCACCGGACCTCCGATTGAGGCTCGAACTTTCGTCGGACCACCAACAGAAGTCAGAGATATGCCGTGCCATAGCCTGATGCTGGAGTTTTGCCAAACCACTGCCGGACCATCTGTAATGTCAGTTTTGCTCCAGGTTCGTCCATGACGAAGTTGGATCGTCCGGGACGATCCTGTTTTGTATAATATTTGGAAGATTCAGTTCCGCAGCAAATTCCAAAGCCAGATCCTGGTTAGTTCGTTAAGCTGGTCGCGGCCCGGTGCGGGGCGGGATCCGTCTCGGGTCGGGTCGTGACACCATCGGCTGAGGCCCAAACTTTTTCCAGTCCACCGACATAAGTCGAACTTTTATCGGAACACCGCCCGACGTCAGAGTTTTGCCAAACCACCATTAGACCACCAGCTAAATCCCAAACTTTTGCCTGACCACCGACAAAAGTTGGAATTCTGCCAGACCACCAAATAATGCCTGAATTTTGGTCGGACCACTGCTTGATGCTGGAGTTCTGCCAGACGACCACCTGACGCTGGACTTCCTCCAGACCACTGCCTTATGCAGGAGTTCCATCGAACCACTGTCTGACGCCGGAGTTCTACCGGACCACAGCTTTATAATTACTATCTTTCTGACCACTGTCTCTTACTGACTATGGTACTTTTGACCTCGGTCGCCTTCTACGATCATTCTGACCTCCATAACCTACTATAGTTCTTTTGACCTCCGTCATCTTACGGTCCTTCCGACCTCCATCGTCAAACAACAGTCTTTTTGGCCATTATCGCCCACCAAAGAAGGTTCTTCCGACCTCCATCGCTAGATAATGGTCTTTCTAACACCTATCTCTTGCCAACTATGGTCCTTTTGACTTCTGTCTCTTACTATTATCGTTATGAGCTCCATCGCCAGACAACGATCTTTTCGACCCATATCTCCTACCAACTACGATCCTTACGACCTTCGTTGCCTACTAGTGTCCTTCCGATCTCCATTGCTAGACAATGATCTTTCTAGCCACTGTCTCCCGCTGATTACATCCTTTCGACCTCCCTCGCCAGACAACGATCTTTTTGACCACTGTCTCCCGCTGACTACGGTCCTTCTGACCTCACTCGCTAGATAACAATCTTTCTGACCACCTCACCAGACTGCGGTCTTTCCGACCTCTTTCCCCACTGACTATGGTCATGTCGACTAAACGAATATTTTAATACTAATTCTTCCAATTTCCACCGCGTAATATAGTGCACATTTGTTACATCAACCTAAGCCCTCTCCCCCAAGGATGGGTCTCATTTGTAATCGAATGCAAATAATAGTGGATTCATTCAAACTGGGCCAAGCCCTATGATGTTTCCCCCTTTTCAGGGGTTTCCATGTAAAAAATCCGGTGTCTCTTATTAACGCTACACCCTTTCTTTTATCTGCTTGTGTGCTAGATCTTCGTACAAAACTAAGACATTAACTTTTATATTTCTCTACCGCCACGAATATTTCAGGACGTAACAAAGAGGATTCTTAGACATTCTCAGAAGGAGAATTAATTCTAGTGTTAAGGAGGTTACCCTTTCTCCACTAAGTAAGTAGTGGTAAATTTGAGGTTGATTATAAAGGCCCCTTCATGATCAAAAAGGCATATCAAGGAGGAGCCTTTCAACAAAATAATTTGAAGGTTAAATGATTAATGCCATTAATTAATGGTTGATACTTGGATAAATATTATGAATAGTAACCTAACCAAGTAATATTACTTAAAATCTCACTATAACATAGGAGTTACATTTATTTAATTTTTCATCATGATTTGTCTTGAGATCCCCAAATAATACTAAGGGCATCTCCAACCGAAACTCTCATTTTTCACTGCAAAATGCAGTAAAACCAAAAAGTGCCGTGATTCATCTCCAATGGAACGCCATTTTGCCTCCTAACCATCGCTCGTTTCTTTTGCGCCATTCTTAGGTAAGTTTGGTAGAGAGAAAAGAATGTGGAAGTGAACAGTGCGACGCCAATATTGTCATCGCACTGTTCAACTGCGATCAAATGGGGAATGAAATGACGTTCGGTTGCGATGTATGAGGGCCTCCATTCGGCTGTTTGCCGAACGGTTGGAGATGGTCTAAGCATCTTCTAATTATATAAGCAAAAAGATAAGTAAATTTTCAAAAAGCCATGTACAATATACATTTTAAAGTTCTCATGGAAGTCATGTTATAAGATAGGGGCCTTATTTCAAAATTTTCTATTTGTGTGTGTGTATGTGTGCGTGCGCGTGTGTGTTAATATCATACTTCATGCCTTGATCACTGAATAAATACTCAAAATGGTTAAATTGTTAATGCTAAATTTATTTGGGTATATGAAGAAAAATGAAGAATAATTTCAAACAAAACATATGCAAAGTAGCTTTTAAAAGCACGAGATTACTTCTTGGCACCCCAAGACTAAAAAATAAAGCGATTATACTTTAAAGTCTATGAACTTCAACCAATCAAGATATAAATTTCATATAGCTCAACGTAAACAAATATGACCAAGCATTTTATAGCTCATCTTATTTTATTGACAATTTGAAATTTATTTAAATGATGTGCGTATGAATTTGATTTAATTGACTTAGATGTAAAAAAAAGTTTGAAGAATAAGTTTTTTTGGTGTGCAATGCTACCGTCTATAGCATGGCTTACGGTAACGCCGTTAACGGTTTATAATCAGTCGTACATAACTTGTATAAAGATTGGCTCCGCCGATAATTACTCAACTGTGGTCCCGACAAATTGAAAAAGAACGGAGCACATTCGACGTAAAATTTCCCGGCAGACGAAATTCCAAATGAATCTCTGCTCCTTAGTTTTCCCTCTCCTGCAGTTAAAAATCTGTCGGTCCGTTGCCTCCGGTTAAAATACTAAGCTCCACATCCTCGACCCGAAGTTTTTGATCTCTCATCGCTGCTGTTACTCTCCCTTTCTCTCTCAGTGTTCCCCTGCTTCGCGAGGAATCCTTCGTCTATACATAATGGGGGCATGATGGAGGTATATCGGGAAAAGCTGCTTCGTCTTTTTTTCTCTGCTAAAATCGCACTGAGCTAAGAAGAACAGAGACGTTTATCTTCTTCTTCTACTCAGGCATAAATCTTCAACCCCTACAACCTGCAGCCGAAACTACTTCAGAATCTATTTCTATTTTGAGGAAAATTTGGGCATGCGCTGTCGCAGTGATTCTTAATTAACTCTTTCCTCTTTTTGTACCTTTTCAGATTTGCATCATCTGTTGCATTTTTAACCCACATAAACACCATGAAATATTTCTGGGTTCTTGGCTTTGTTAGTCTGCTGCTGGCCGGTTGCGCACGCGGCTTTGATTTGAATTGGACGGAGGTAGTCTACGATGGCGAGGTGGCTGTCGGTGGGCCTCCGCTCTTCGTCCCACTTACGCTCATTCAATCGGCAGCAGCTAAAGGAGCTGGTAATGAAGTCCGCCCTCGTTTCTTGTTCATGATGCACCACGGTCTTGTTCTATGCTATAGTGATTCTGTATTGCTGTGAACAGTTAGATCTCAGATAAAAACACATCCATATAACGATGGCGTGATTTTCTTAGCATTTCATTTTATTTATAGCGCATATATCCCTCAATTTAATGTCTTTCGTGATATTTCCTGCTACTTTGTCTGCTATCCCACGGTCTTTGTTGCAACTTTACGTTTGAATTGTATATTTTATTGATTTTTTAATTTGTGAAGGCGACAATGAGATCTCCTTAGGATAATAGAAAAATATCTTTTTGATGAATTGATATGAATCACAAACTCAAGATGCCCTGCATGGATCGATCCAGAATCTATTTTGACTTGGTTTGATTGAATTAGTGCCTAAACGAACACATAATGATCTGATCGAACTCCAAATATTGTACGGAGTATGCAAGTGCTTTAACCGGTCAAAATTGAGCCCAAATGAGCCTAAATTGGCTTGACCTATTTAGGATAGTCTGGGACATCCTTCTCCATGCACTAATATTTGTTAGCAATTCTAAGGATCTAGCTGTTGAACCATCAATGTTCAAAGGGCTGTTGAAGCGTCCCCTTGAACTAGTTATCAACTAGGAGCACGCTCATCGCTTGCGTTGTTGCTAGTGTGCTCATTTGGTCTCAATCCATTCTGAAATTTTGGATCCTTTCAGAATTATTGTGCTTTCCACGCTCGACCTCTATGCTGATCATTTGTCTCTAATGCTTCTTTTAATCACAATAAAATCCATAGATTTAGATGTTTATTTTTGTTGGATCTTACTAAGGAGTTTCCCAATCTTTTCAAACATTATTTTTTTTAATTTTTTGCATAAATCCCATTCCACTGCATCCTAAGCCCAATGTCACCTCCAACAATATAGTATGCTCAAATCACCAACCTTAGTTGATATGATTTATTATCACCAGTGCCAGAGCTAGCCTAAGTTTGGAGGGTCAATTGAACTATAGCCAAATGGACTATCTTATGTATAGAAATTTCTCCCAATTTCAATTCATCAAAGGAAACACTATAATTATTAGGTCTTAAGTCCTGAATGACAAAAGTAGAGGGTTGCGGTAGGTAGTCGATAGACAACATAAAATTAGTTGAATAATCATGACATGAATATTTTAATATATTGTGTTAATGTTTGGACGTTCTTATAAACTACGAACTGTATGACCTGAATACGACGAGAAGTGTGCAAGGGCCGTTGCATCAGTGGCTCAGTGCCCATGTGCAGTGTCTAATAAGCAAGAGTTCCCACATCATGGATGGATGTGAGCAAAAATGCTACTCCATGAAACTAGAATAAGGATAAAAACTTTAAATATAGGTTATCTTATAGGTAAATTAATAGAATTAATAGATTTTATGATTCATAGCTATTCATTCAAGAAATTAAATGGGTTGGAGAGAATGCTAAATAGATTAATAGTTTAGGATTTAAACTATATTATTCAGGCATAAATCATACTAGAAATGATGTATGTGTAATTATAGATAAGAGTTTGAAGTATAATGTTGTAGAAATTAATAGAATTAGAGATAAAATTATAAATTTAAAAATAGTTGTTGATGCTAAGATTATTAATATTATAAGTATTTATACTCTTAAAGTAGGTTTGAAAATATATTCAAAATTAAAATTTTGGAATGACTTAGAAGAATTAATATAAATAATACATCTTGGAAAAAAGTTTTTATTGGAGGATATTTAAATAGACGATTAGACGCATTATTATAGTGTTAAAAAATTTTAAAATCATTCATGATGACTATGAATTTGGAGTGACTAATGAAGATGGTAGTACCAAACGATACGCATGAGTCATTCTTCTCTATTGATCGAACGCAGAGGCCGTGGGATGAAGAACTCTCCCTTCTCTTGGTTCTCTCAGTTCGACGTACGCAGGAGATAAAAATGAACCAAAGGGATTATGGCTCTAATACCATGTTAAATTCAGAGAATTGGATAGGGAAAAATTTAATTTTATTGCACAAAATTATCCCTTTTTGTAGATCTATACAATATATCTTAATAAAGAAATAAATAATTATAGAATCATACACAATTGCCCTAATATATTCCATCATAAATTAGTCACCCAAATATGGAAGAAGATTGACATGATCCAGGTGAGCCTCTCACGGATCCCCATCCTGGCTCTTGGATCAAGTGCCAAGCGACGGCTAAGATTTAACATTTGAATATTTAAATATTGTCATGATCATAATGGGATAACATTCATGTAATAATGCAATGGTTTGCCTAGAATATTATATGTTGTCCATGGGGAGAACACCTCCAAATAGAATCCTCATAACTATCTAGTTTAATGAAAATTAGGTATCTAGCGGTCATAAATAGAGATATGTTGTTAACCTAACTAATATGGAATGGTCTAAGATAAGGGCCCTTGCTGCTGGTTAGCCCGCCCTTATGAATGTTTAGTGAATATGCATGTATTGCATTGGTACCATCAATAAGTACTTTATACATTTTCTTATTTTATATGATATACATATGCAAAATATTCTTACTTCTCAAATCTTAAGAATCATATTTTGATGTAGAAAGATGCCTCATGACATCAAAAAGGGCATCAATAAAATCATCATCAGATAAGGTTTCATCATCTATAACCCCTTGGTTCCATATACGGAGAAGAATTAATTCTTACATTGATTTTGCACATGAACTTTCCTATGACACTTAAAACATGTAGTGTTTTTAACGTTCCTCTGAGAAGTTTAAGTGGGAGTCCTAGGATGGGTAGTACTAACCGAGTTAGACAAAGAAATGAGGGGAAGCTCTTTCTCTTTGCCCTATCTTTGTTTGATCACTATAGTCATGTTTGTAGTTCACAGATCTATTTCATTCATAACAGATTGTGGTCGTCTTGTGATCTTGTCTTCATTATTCATTTTTCTGGCAAAAGTGTTTGCTATATGAAATGTTATAGCTTATTTACTTATCAAACAAGTATATTCATGGCAAGTACGATTGCAGATTTAGGGTTGCTGAATCTCCTTTTGTTTTGACTATTAGATTTTATCCATCGCTATTTCAATTGATACAGTTGGTTTGGTTCAAGGTTTCTGTGTGACTAGCATTGATTTGTATTTGTTCTGAAAGCACGTTTGCAATCTAATCTCGCAAATTATTGGATGTTGAGATTGTGATGTATACTCTTACTCTTTTCTGACACCTCAGGAAGTTCATATCCATTGTCTTTTCATTAATTACTTTATTTGATTGTTCCAGTGTGTTTGGATGGAAGCTTACCAGGTTACCACCTTCACAGAGGATTTGGATATGGAGCAAATAGTTGGCTTGTCCAATTAGAGGTTCAAAGAATAACTGAATAATCACAAAATATTTGATTTAATTTCACTTTTGATATTGTAATTAGATGTCATTGATAGCCTTCCAATCTCCTATGCACTTTTACGCCTATATTACATTTTAAACAATCAGCATCTTTCATTTGAATTTTATTTGAATTTTCCTATGACTCTAAATATCTACTGGTATTTTGGCTTCATAACTGCCACAGGGAGGAGGCTGGTGCAGTGACATTCGAATGTGTCTTTTTCGTAAAAAAACCCGTCGAGGTTCATCATATTACATGGAGAAGCAGCTACAGTTCACAGGAATTTTGAGTAATAAACCTGAAGAAAATCCGGGTAGGCGTGGACCTTAAACAATACTTTTTTTGTGTTTAATGGTTCTTTCTTTCATCTATTTCACAACCTTAGTGAATTTAGATCTAGGATTTTGCGCATAATGATCATAAACATTACACATGCAGATTTTTATAACTGGAACAGAGTGAAGATTCGCTACTGTGATGGTGCATCTTTCCTTGGCGAAGGCTACAATATGGTTTGCATTTATTTAATAGTTTTTTGTTTCGTCCGAAGGGTCCTATAAAATGCCAATTTCTTAGCATGTGCGTACACAATAGAATCTAAAGATATTACCAACTAGAAATCAAATCTTTACTGACTGCTGTGGATGTATAATCTTCTATAATGAGTGGTTAAGCTTTTTAAAAACATCACTGCTTTTGATTATGTAAAGGATCCCCCTATGACCTATGCTTAAGTATGGTCATTTACTCGTTACTTACACCTCAGTTTCTTGTTTATTGTATGTGAAAATAGCCTTATTCCTAGAGATATCACTCGCATGTCTTTTTTCTCAATTGAGTGTTTTTGTCTAGGTTTCAAGAACTATACATTTGACTCCTTGAAGCATAACCGAAATGTTCCATGATCAACAACTTTGCAGCATATCTCTAATTTATGCATTTGCTAATAAATTTCTAGTTAAAGAAAATTGGAAGTATCTTGCCTTTTGAAATAATTCCATTGCAACTTTGATTATTATGACATATATTAAGCTGTCTTATGGTGATGATATATTTATATCTCATTCTAGAATCTAACTATATATTATGATGCACAGACGCAGGCACGGCGAGGATACGATACGATATGGATACGAGACACGTTAACTATTGAAGATAAAGGACATAGATACGGGTTGGACACAATATTAGAATTTTTATATCTTAAAAATAGTGTATAAAATTGAATAAGTATAATATTAAAAATAATTTATAAATAATAAGTCATTTAATTAGAATTTATGTTTAAAATGATTAATATTAGGATATCGAGAGTCGGGTGTTGATGTCGTGTATCAGGCCTTGAGAGAGGAGACGACAATGCTGTAAAGAGTCAGACATTGATGTTATGCAGTAAGTATTGACACCGATGTCAATAGGGATTTTGTTGTCAATGTTGAGAGGGCATTGATTGTCGATGTTAAGATGATGTTCGACAAAAATGAGCTGTCAAGTTGTGGGTGGAGAAATTTCTAGTGTTGAGCATCAATGTCAAGACAGTGTCAAATTTTGATGTTCTGATGGTTTTGAAATATTGATATTGTAATGATGTCAAACGTCAATGTCAACGAGCATTGTTGTGACACCAAAGTTGCAACTCGCCAAAGAGAAATAAAAATGACAATATTCGATGAATGAGGTATTGAGTGCAGGCGATTGACTTGGTGTTGTGATAAAAAATAAGAAATTTAGTTTTTATATTACAAATAAATAAAAAATTTAAATACAAGAGATTATATTTAAAAAATTCTTAAAATATTTAATACATGTGTGTTACACACTTTTATCCAATTTGTATTCAATATTTTTTTTAATTGGACACATTTTCGGCATATCCGACACGTGTCAGAGGCATGTCGGACTGTCTTGTTGGATACGTGTCAGACATTGTACTCCTCTTTGAGTAGAAGTGTCGGTATTTAGGAGTTTTGGTCGACAAAATTAATCTAGGATTTAGGGTTTAGTTTGGGGAAACTAGCGAAGTTTAGGGCTTGAAATTGTTGGAATAGGTAGAGGGATGTGTCTATTTTTGTTTTTGAACATTTTATAATTTTCCATGGATTTTTTATTAGTCAAATGTGTTTAGAACAAATTAGGTCTTGTTCAAGCAAACCTAGGCCAAGAGCTTCCCCTTGGGTTTTGGTGGCATTTTAGGCAATGGGGTGCTATGGAATGGCTAGGCGACTATGACTGGATGTGGCAGAAAAGTTCTACAGTGAAATAAGGTTAGGATCTTGGTGCCAAAAATCATGTCACTCACCATAAATACAAGGTTTGGACAATGTCATCAAATATGGTCCTATGGAAGCCATGAAGCTTCTTTCCAAAGAGTCAATTAAATAGAGGAATTGATGTCAGCTCACTTGAAGAGGTGTTTGAAGCATCCCATCCATGGAGATAATTAATCCTTTCAAAAGGAGTTATGGTCGGCCATATAAGAGGAAAATTGGTTATTGCAAATTTAAAATTTAAAATTTTGTAAATATAAATATCAGAACACAATAGTCTTTTTCTTATTTACTCATAATCACAGCAAATGCAAATAAAATATTAATACTAAATCAAAGTTCTAGTTTGGCCTCCTATCCTTGGCCATTTCTTGACTTAAGCTTATTTCTTCACTTGGGCTATTGTGATTGGTCCAATCGTATCACCATGTACTCCTTATGCTACATAAAATTGTTACCCACGATATTCAATATAGAATGATATGCAGGATTTTTAACTCCTCTTAATGCTCAACGGCATCTAAGTGCAAAGTAAACAATCCAAATAAACCTTAACAGTGTTCTCCAAATTGTTAATTCTTATTCTAGTTGAATGTCAGAAACTTTCATGTCTTTGTGAGGGTATGTCGACCAAGCACCATATTTCCAAGGTTATGTATTTATCAAAATTACCCTTTAAGCTGAGTTCAGTGCCTTTCTAGTTTTGTTTCACCATCCTGCAGCTGTTCTTTGCTTAGACTTTACTATGCCCAGTTCTGTCCCTATACCACAGTTATTAGTTGTATCATGAGCACTTTATTTACCAGTTAATTAACCTTCACGTTTCACTACAAAGCATTTTAGTGGATGATTTTTTTTTATTTTCCGTTAGCACTAAATGGCTCTAGTTCTTAAAGTTGACTGGCACCTTTTTTAGGCTGCAGGCCTCTTTTTCCGTGGCCAACGCATATGGCTGGCTGCTATGGAAGACCTGATGTCAAAGGGAATGCGTGATGCTAATCAGGTTAATTTTATGCTTTTGTTATGCATTTGGTCCATTTTCCCAGTTTTGCCATTAGCAATATATCTATGCTTGTAGGCACTTCTTACTGGATGCTCTGCGGGTGGTCTAGCTGCTATACACCATTGTGATGGATTTCACGCATTGTTTCCCGCAAGCACAAAAATAAAGTGCTTTGCTGACGCTGGAATGTTTCTTGATGCGTATGTGTTGATTGCAGCAGGCTATTTTTCATTTGTTTGCCATGTCTACCTCAATGATTTCTCACCAATATTTGTCTTGCTTCATTGTTGTTGTAGTCTTAATGGACATTTTAACATATTCTTGCTTGTTGCTTCTGTTTTATCCATGCACTGCAGTGTTGATGTGGCTGGACGACGCACCCTGAGATCCTTTTTTGGTGGCTTGGTTAACTTACAGGTACTTATTGCAATTTGCAAGCTTTCAATTGCATGCGTTGCGATCCCATAATTGTATACTGGAAATATGGTTTCTCTTAAAGATTGTTTGTTTTCGTTAGTTCTCTAGTCATCTTATTGGTTTTTCTCTTCACATTCTATTCAACTAATAATTTATTGGGTAAACAGGGGGTGTCAAGGAACTTACCAAGGACCTGTACTTCCCACTTGAATCCAACTTTGGTAAAATTTCATTCCCAGTCATGAGAAATAGAAAGACATTTCGTTGATGTTATTATTTTTCTTTTCAGTGTTTTTTTCCTCAGAATGTCCTGTCAACTGTTCAGACCCCACTTTTTCTTTTGAATTCAGCATATGATGTATGGCAGGTACATCACTACCCCAGTAGAGTTAGACATCCCTTCTATTTCTTTTTAGTCTTTTGATGTTGATAATACATTGCTAAATATTTTAATTTTAATATTATGTTGTGGATCACTTCATATCTGTGTAAATAGTACCCTAACCATTAGAATCATGAAAACCTGAAATGTTGTCACTTTCTGCTTGTCCTCCTTGGGTTTCAGCTTCAGGAGAGTCTGGCTTCCAAAGCGGCTGATCCTCATGGTTATTGGCAGGACTGTAACATGAATAATGCAAAATGCAACACAGGTCAAATCCAGTTTTTGCAAGGTATGCATTTGTTATCCATATACGCAATACTTAACTTTCACATAACTCAAAGTTGCACTAACGTTTTCTCTTTTGTAGGCTTCAGGAACCAAATGCTTAATTGTGTAGAGAAGTTCTCGTTATCAAGCAAAAATGGGTTATTTATTAATTCATGTTTCGCTCATTGCCAAAGTGAAAGGCAGGATACCTGGTTCGGAAACAGCTCTCCAGCTGTTAGTAACAAGGTATGGTTATATTGAATTCCTCATTAAAAGGGAAGTTACTGATCCCTATTCATACACCGATCAATTTTTTGTGCATTTCCTTTCCATTGATGATTCAAAATTTGTAAGAATTATAGCTAATTTCTATCTATTCAAGGAAACTAGCTACCCAAGGCACGCACAAGTTCTTTTCATCTAGTCCCCATCAAGGTTTAAAATTGTATAATTTGGTATTATTGGGATGTTTTTCATTTGTGAGATAAAGCGTAAGCCTCAAGGAGTGTTTTTTTATATAATAACCAAATAATATATTATAGGGGGACATATTAATTTTATATTGAACTATTTAATAACAATTTGATATAATTATGAAAACAAAATTGCATAAGATATAAAATAGGAAGTGATAAATTGCGTGAAATATAATTAAAATTCAAACATTACACTTGCAAAAAAATATAAAATATATTGTGTAATAGGAGAAGGAGAAGGTGGTTGCAGGCCTGTAGCAGCGGCGGCCATCCCCAAGTGATTGCCTGTGGCTGCAGTGACGGGTTGGTGATAGGGAACTTACGACTGGACATTGAGGATAAGAGTTACAGCTTGGGTGCGGCTGGTCCATGTGAAGGTACAAGTGTTTAGATTAGGTTAAAAATGAGTTATTTTTATATATTTATATTAAAAAAAGACATACGGCATACGCCTTACACCTATGAGGCAAGGTGCGCCTCAGCCATATTGAGGTGTATGCCTCAAAACACAAGCATGAGGCGTGCGCTTAAATGTGTTTTGCAACATAATTGCACTGAGCTGTGCCTCACTTTGCACAATTTTAAATAAAGATCTCCATTAAGCAAAGTATTTATATAACGTGGTTAGCAGATAGAAATGAAATCATCAAAAGGGAAATTTCCAAAATAAAGAGGTAAATCTCCAGTTTTATGCTCGAAAAATTTAAATATGAAGCAAACATTTCATTCATTATATATTGATTTAAAGACAATGTTTCTATAATGCCATAGGCTATGTTGTTTCGATTGCAGTCTGATAGAAAATAAACATCAATAATGTAGAAGTTTGTTAATTTCAGAGAAATTTAGCCATACATATCAGATTTTTATAAGAACCGTAGGAAATTTGAGAGAAAATTATTTGAAATTCACTAATAGAAGAAGAAAAACAACTCAAGATACATGAATCTTCAATTGGAGAGAAAGAACCGACTCTCCAAATCTCTATATACAATTGAAACATGCCATATTATAATTAATGAATCATCTGCGCTTAGTGCTTATAAGGACTCTCCTTTGTGAACCTACTCTTCCTCCTTACTGAAGTTATGAAATAAATCATTTTCAAATTGTTGTCCTTATATTTTAGGATGCAATCCTAACAGATTTCACAGCTAACAAATTAACTAATGATAAGCAGGGAATTGCAAAGTCTGTTGGTGATTGGTACTTTGATCGCTCTCAAGTGAAGATCATTGACTGTCCATATCCTTGCGATAGAACCTGTCACAACCTTGTATTCAATGGAAGGCATTGAATTCTTTGATAATACCTTTCCTATCAGTTGATCACCATTTAGGCTTCGTTTGGGACGGTTTTTTTACTGCTTCTTAAATCAGCTTTTTAGTACGAATATTTTAATTTTTATACTAGAAAGCTGCTTTAAGAAGCATTAAGAAAGTTGTCCCAAACAAAACCTTAAAGTTGCATATTCATATCAAATAATGAATAACAGCTTTGCGAGTTTACAAGACATCCAGAAAGCTTGCGAAGAAGTGGAAGTTCCTTGCTTCTGAAATTTGAAGCCTTTTATTGTGGTATTAGTCTCTGTTGTAAATGGGTTTGATTACTCCCATTCCAGCAGTAGAATTCTTTTTAAATTGCATTGATTAGTACAATAAAATTATAATGATTTTGAATAAAGTTGTTGGATTCAATCCCAGCCATCCAAAGTAAATCCTATGGCTTAGATGTGGCACCTGCTGGGGATGTTACATCTACAGTGATATATTTTTTTAATTTCCATCAGCAATTGATTTTGATTTATATGTATGTACATTGCATCACAAAATTATATTATTGTGTTGCTCATTAAATACATAAATGCGAACAAAAACTACATTTGTAGATCCAAAGTATTTTGGTTATTCTTGCTTCATCAATTTGGCTGTTCGTAAATTCTGCATGTGTTGTAACTTTAGCTAGCGGAGTTCTTTGTAGCAAGTTTTTGATCATCTTTATGCCAAATGCGCCGTTTGTCATGAAGTGCAGAAAAATCAGATGCTGGTGAAGCTTTGTTCAATCTTTGATCACGGTTCTCGCCAGCATTTTTTTTTTTAGGTTGTTTTCTTGACTTAGTTCTACTAAATATGTAAACGATGAAATGATGAGAACTTAGGCTTTGTTTGAGATAGCTTTCTTGCTATTTTTTAAAGCAATTTTTTAGTATAAAAATTTTTATATTAAAAAGTTGTTTTAAAAAGCAATGAGAAAGTCGTGATGATTGACTTATTTTTTTATTTTTTTATGCTAACAAGTCATTTTAGAAAGTATATTTTTAACCTTTGCTAACAAGTCATTTTAGAAAGTACCGTTGGGTATCGAGCACCTGCCAATGCTTGTGCGAACGGTGCGCACTCTGCATCTAATAATTTTTCTTGCTTGTGATAATTGTAATTTTTTATGTGTTTGTAAAATTATGGCTAAGTATTTTTTGGTAAGTTGTAGAAAATATATTTTTAGTAAAATTTTTTGAAATCAGTGGCTAAGTATAAAATATAGTTGTGATTTGAAAAACAAATTAGTAATAAAGTTGCCTCAAATACACACCATAACCATCAAATTAATATTCTTTCGCTTGATAAACTTAAATTTAATAGAGTCATTCCTAAAGAAAGTTATTTCATCTCGCCTTCTTTCTTTTAATTTGATAGTTAATGTTCTTTATTAAAAAAAAATGGTATCTATAGCTTTCTCTGGATGGATAGAAGGCTGAAATTCCGAAGCCAGGGTCCTATTTTTTTAGTTTGTTAATGGCGCTCTTTGATCTTTTATGGAGTTGATATTCAGTAAGCTTTATATCTAAGAAAAGAAATCTTTTGTTGTTAGCAAAGGTTTCTTCAATAAAATCAACTATTTCAAATTCTCATTAAAATTTTTGGATTTAATTCACTACTAGTAAAATAAAGCTTTAGCAGCGCTTTTTTGTATTTTTATTTTTCAGCTTTTATAAAATAGATTGCAGTTGTTTAAGAATTATTATACATTCACTGCATTTGGTATTTGCTAGAAAAGAGTTTCTTAGCGGTTTTGAAATTGCTGCTAAAGATTAAAATTTACAATTTTTGCAGTAGTTGAAACACCTACTTTTCTAGAACGTTACAGCGGTTTAAATCATTGCTATACTATAATTTTGCAAAATAGCAGCGGTTTAAATTGTTGCAATGCTAGATTTATAGTTTTGCATGTTCTGTGATTTGCAGTAAATTTTACACTCAATTTATTTAATGGACATAAATATGAAGATTACCAATATACTAAAGAAGTGAATTGAAGATATAAATTTGAGTCCTATACTTTGCAATTTATGACTCATCATTTTCAAATATTAAAAAAAAAAAAAAATTGATGGAACATTTCAAAATGTTAGCAATGGAAAATGTCAAACTATTGGTTATATTAAGTTTTCAAGAAGCATTAAAAAACAAAAAAAGGTTTCAAGAAGTATTTCGAACAAAATAATTTAATAGCATAATTATATGAAATGTGAAGGAACTTGTTGCAATATCACCAAAAGGTGCAAACGGCAATTAAAAAAAAAGGGCGGTTGAAAATATAATAACAACAGTTAAAAACATCAATAAATGAAGAATGAAGATCATTCTTTAACATGAGCTTACATTCCTGTTTTTTAAGTGGGCATCTATTCAATTAGAAAATTTATTCAATGAACAAGAATTTCTAAGGGGCAGCTGATAACATTTCAAGAGTTTAAATAATAAAAAATTATGCACAATCAATAGTGAATTAAAAATTAACAATAAACTTTGCAACGTTTATTACAATAAAATCAAAATTGTTACACACACATACATAAAACAAAAAGGCTGTGACCACTGAGTAACCAACTGACAACACTACGTTGGGTCCACTCCTGTAGGGATAGCCTCTATAATATTCTCTATGAGTCTGCTACCCTGTTGCTCTTATTTCAAACTAGTTTTATAATTATTCCACTTAATGCCAAGAGATTGCAAAATCCAAAACAATATATTTCCAAGGAGCTCAAACTTGGCATATAAACTGATGAATGATAAGTTAATAGACATAAAATAAATAACATGTCTACTTACTATGATATTTACATCTACTTTAGCTAACATTTTTTTCTTAAAGGGCTCCATACCCTTATTACACCATTATGGGAATGTGATTGGTGCCAAAATAGGATCTCTTGGTACAAATCCTAAGTATGAAACATACAAAACAGATTTTGGTATATTACATGGCACACCATTCTCATTCACCTCAAGGTTAACCCATGTAACTAAAGGCATGCTTTGTATGTGTGCACAAGTGGTTGCCCTCTCCTTCTTACTGGTGGGTCCTGTTCATTTGAAGAAATACTATGTAGGAGTCAAGTAAATTAAAAATAATATTGAAAATATTAATAGAACAAAAACCTATGAGCCAAACGCCATAATCTGGTGGTGCTTGCCTGAGGAACTTCTAAAATGACTTCCTCAGGACTTGTTGGGTCTCAATACAATGATCATCTTGTGTCGAATCTAGATACATTAGACTCGAGGGGTTATTTGAAGATTCACTACTCTCCTCCACACTAGAGGATAATCTTCATGTTACCTTTTTTGCATGTCTTAATAAGCTGCCACTTGTCATACCTTTTAATAAAGATGCAGAATAATGATAAAATAGTTAGTAAGTTGAAATAGGAACATAGAACAAAAATGATAAATGTGCATAATTTAAATAAAAACTTGTAGCATACAACTAAGAATGAGCAAAATTTAAATAAGAACTCATGATTGAAAATTGAAACAATGCATATTTATATAAATGCATATTTATATAAATTCATGCCAAATTGTAATCTTGTAAGTCTATTTCCAATGATTTTACTTCTCTTGTGAGTCCACATATTTGATTTGTATGGATTTTACAAAAAATAAGTTATCTTGATATTTTGATAAATTTTACTCATAGCTTTTTGTATTTTGTTATTCTAAGTATTTTAAACATATGTTTATTACCATCTTTGATTTTTATTAAGTGTTTTATGCTTTTTCATTAGGATTGACCTTTGTATTTCTTGGTAAGGTTCCTTGGGGTCTAATATTTAAGGAATTAGCTAACTTCCCGAATTAATTTTTAATATTTCTTATGGCAATAGCTTAGCTTTTTATTTGAGTTCCCATTTACAAAGTTAGGTCTTCTAAGAAGGCTTCTTATCCTTAAATTGGTTATTTACATTAAGTCCTCGAGGATACCGAAGTCTTGGGTTTTCAAATTATTATTGAGGTGAGTTCCAACTCCCTACATTATTAGTTTGGCTAGGATTCCAAATGCTAAACCATTATAATTTTGTTCCATTAAAAATTACAGTGGTTCTTTCAACCTTGATTGTAGGTTTTAGAATAAGGGTTATTCTATCTATTATTTATATCATTTAAGGATTCAACCCCTGCTGAGTTTTGTTCATTAGATGTTCCATAAATACTATCCTCTACTAGAATAGATGTACCTTAAGATGAACTAACTCTAAGTTTTTTAATTTCTTAGATATGGTAGCTACTTGGGAATTAAAAATAGATAATACATCTGATTCATAGATACTAATCACTTTCTAGGGTTCACTCTCAGAAGGCCATTGGAAGTCATTGGTGGCCATCTCTTCAATCAAAGCATATGCTTCATCAAAGTGTTTGGACATCAAAGAACCTCCAACAACAACATCAATGATCAATCTAAATGATCCTATAACTCCATTATATAAAGTTTGAATAATAAGGCAAACATACAAGACATAATGTAACACTTTTAAGCAATTTCTTAAATCTCTCCCAAGTTTCATATTTTGATTCTCCATCTAATTGAGTGATGAGGTGATGTCTTTCTTAAGCTTTGCAGATTTGAATGGAGGAAAGTACTTAGCTAGGCATTTATGAGCTAAGTCATTTTATATGGTAGTTGAGCTTGAAGGAAAGGATTTCAACCATAGTTTTTCCTTCTAGTTTAATTAGAATGGAAACTTTTTAAGTTTAATGACATCATCAGAGACTCTATTATACTTAAATGTAGCAACGATCTCCAAGAAATTGGCAATATGCAAGTTTAGATCCTCTATAAGAGTTTGCTAAATTGAGAATTTTGCATCATTTTAATGATACAATGCATCAGTTAAAAGTCATTGGCTTGGATGGTAGGTCAATAAAAAATGCTTTCATGAATGCCCTCTACCAATGGGTTTGCATGCTCTTTTAGTGGTTTGGGTTGGTCATTCTTTTGGAATGGGTCGACCATTTCTAAGTCATTTTGTTACTTTTTAGATTTTCTTTTGTTTTTTCAAGGTTTTTTTTTTAACTCATGATCAAATAAGATTTCTTTTAATTACAAACTACAATGCATGCAACAAAAACACACATAATATTAAAATTGTTAATCATAGTTAATTGAATAACTAATAATGTAGTAATTTAAAAAATACATCAGGAAGAAGCAACAATACCAACATAGAATAAGATAAACAAAGATAATGATAATATTAAATCAATAATTCTTTAAATATAATAAAGTGAATAAAAAGGTAATCAATCACTATCCCTAGTAATAGTGCCAAAAAATTGATAAGTTATTTGTGTGTAAACACTAGATCTACATATGTATAGGTAAAAATAAATGAATAAATAATAAATAAAAAAATAAAAAATGTTCAAGTAATATAGTGGTATGTAAAGTATCATTCTCATGAGGATAGGGAATCATCAAGATCACTCAAGTACTGCTAAACATGCTTTATTTATCTTCTTGTCAAAACTAAATTGTGAGCTAGTGAAAGTTATCTTATGATTTTCTCAAAGAAAATTCTAAGGGACTCTAAATATATGATAGTTTAAAACTCATAAATGCAGAAGTTAGATATTTTATCATGCTATTGTTAATTAGAGTATTAATATTCTGCATCTTTTTCATACTCATTGTAGTGTACAGATAAGTTGGCATTTAACTATAGTTATTATCTCTCCTTATGATCCCAGAACACTATCCACTATATGTCTATGCATGACATAATTTAATTTTAAATGCCTTAATTGTTCCACTACTCCTTCAAGAATGTAGATCACACTAAATTTTAAGTTCATGTAAGTCCTCTACACAAACTAAATTAAGTATGATTGATTTAAAAATATCAGAACATTGATGCATATAATAAGATTTATTCTTATGCAAACATGTTTTCTAACACATTATAAGTCTAGATAAATGATTTCAGCATGCCATATAAATTTAGATAAACATAACACAATTTATTGTATTGACAAATAAAAGTACAAGAGAAAAGAATGTAGTATATATCACAAGGAAGTTCTTGATTACACGAATATAGACACTCCTAGCCACTTAATTTGACTTTCTTAACTAGCACTCACTCTTTTCCTCCCTTCAAACTTTGCCTAAGATTGATTACAAATGAATAAATGGTCATCACCCCCGCAAAATTTAGTCAAAACTATTTATATTTAATATAATAATTGACTTAGGCACTGCGACTCTAATAGTGGTGGCACTGTAACACTACCAAATTAAATTAATACCAAATCACACGTTAAGTCCACCACTATAGTGCTCTGATTAAATTGATGTGTCATTTCCCTATGGTAACCAAATTAACTGTTTTGCAATAGTGCTTTGGTGATTTGGCACTACAACACCCTAGTTATCGCTATGGTGTTTGATGTGAGCTGACACTACAACAGTTGCACAGAATAATCAAGTGACGTTCATAGTAAAAGAGGATAATAAAATTATAACAAAAAATTTCCACTAACAATTTTGCTATGGGTTTACTTAGACTAGGCAAGGCCATGATGTCGTATATATGATTTTGATAGGTTAACAAAGTCTACCCACTTCTTGCTTATAAGACAGATGAATTCTATTGATAATTTGGCTCATATGCATGTGAATTATGAAATATATATTAGGGCATATTCTTAAAAATAATTGATTATAATAATATTCCTAAATAGGTTAGTTTGGATATTTAATATTTTGATTTGTATTATATTTGATGTATGATTTATTTATATAATTTTTGAATCTAGGGTTTAACACAACACATGTATTGAAGGGAGAAAGATCAACATATAATCAAATATTCAACTAGTTATGATTTGAATGAAGTAAGTAACTTTTTACTTATTAAAGAATAAATGTACCATTCATAATTATGATAAATTATTACATACGTAGTTCGAACAGCATCTGAAGTCCAATCAGAACAAGTCACGTCGACTGTACATTGTGTATAATTTATACATAAGATGTGTACAAATTGTATCTGATTGAGAGTTCATACACAAGTTGCATCTACACTGCACATATAATAACTTCTCCCTCATTAGGGGGAATTTTCCTTGACATCTAGTGCATGACTTATTTATTAATAAAATATATTATGAATTATGCTTTATTTAATATGGTCATATTGATTTGATTTGATAGTTAGCTTTTCCAAAGTATTTTTTGCACAAATTTCTTGAAAGGTTTATATATGTATTTTTTTCTTGCTAAGTAAGAACTATTACTTACACAAATCATAAACTTTGTTAATATATAGCAATATTTGATTATAATGATTATATAATCTTCGTCATAGAAATTTCATCATAATTTAATATTTATGAAATATATGCTTGTATGCATGAGGTATGCATTATTGGTTGATTCATATTGTATATTATGAGTCCACAAAGTGATAAATATTTTAAAAATCATTGGCTTTTCATGGGTTAGTGAAAATCTTCTTAATTTAGGATATCCTAGTAGATAGACTATGAATACATAAATATAAAATATTATGATAATAATGATGAGTCATTTATAAATATATAAATATAATATGTATGTAAATGGCTTGTTTGGTATTTAAATATATTGATTACTATTTTGTGTATGAATTTTTGTGAACTCTACTAAGTCATGTAGGTTATGATCTTCTTATTTACAGGAGGAAGCTTGATTATTATGTTAAAGATTCACAAACAACCGAACATTACAAATAAATCTAAAAATATCAAAATAATGTGAAATATGCAGAAAGAAGCCATTGACAGAATAGAGCAAAGGAAAGACGATCAAACACGTATTCATAGCTGTTCCCCACCTCTGCAGAATTATTCAATCGATATCAGGCTGCATATCAGCTGATTTTCCTTCAGTCTAATCGTAGCGACTTACAGAAGAACAAAAAATGCAAATTTACACAACCAACAACAAATCAGAGCTTTCGCAAAGACTTTTGTAAACTTAAATATTAGTTGATAAAAGAGCATACTTTTGCATCTTCCTTCCTTTCACTCTCATTGATTCATCAAATAAATAAATAAAAAAGAGCTAAAGATGTTCAAACACTGTAGAAATCCTTTGCAAGTTCATCGCATATAAATCCTAAGACTGCAGCTGCGGCAGCTCAGGCTGATGATTCTGAAAGCAAAGATTCAAGCTTTCCAGCTCAAAATGGCTTTCTACCTGGAGGTCTCCAGCATGTAAAGGCTGGCTTTGGTAGTGGGGAAGCGACGGCGCTAAAAATTTTCCCTGAAGATACTGAAACCTTTCCATCTCTTCACTGTCCCCTGTTAGAAGATATTTGTTTCCTCTCTCTGTCGTCAAATCTGGCCATGAGCTCAAACCATCAAACCAAAAGGAGCTGCTTTTGCTGCTACTGCTATTTGAGTCCATTGAATTGTAGAAAATTGAACTCGAAACAAACGTTGTGGCTGAGGCTATCGAGCTGCAACTCAGCTCTGGATTCAAGCCTAATCCTCTGTTATTCTGGTTATGCAAGAGAAGAAGAGGATTTGAACTCACGGAGAGGGTAGTGGTTGAAGTGCTGCAACTTAGCTTAGATAGAGAAAAGTAACCGTTGGATTTCGATGCCGAATCTTCAATACCTTGCATAAGCGTGAGATCTGACTCGAGCTCTGTTTGCTTCAGGCTTCCACTGCCAGAAGAAATTTTATCATCTTCTGTGCCCTCAATCTCCGAGAAAGGCTTGTGCGTATTTGGATCAATACCCGTTTTCCTTAGCTTCTTCTTAATGCATGTATTCCATAGGTTCTTGATTTCATTATCAGTTCTTCCAGGCAACTGTGCTGCAATCTGAGACCACCTGTTAGGAGAAAACTTGGTCACAGAAGGAAGCTCAAACAAAAAAGCATCAATCATGGAGCAGAGAGGAGACCTATTGCCCAGGACTGCATGGAGTTCAATGATGATATCTTCCTCTTCCTGTGAGAATTTTCCTCTCTTGAGGTCAGGTCTGAGGTAGTTTATCCATCTCAGTCGGCAGCTTTTGCCACATCTCTGCAGACCTGAATCGAGTTCCATTTTCTGTCAGAAATGGCTGAAGATCTCCTCAAATATTCAATGTATTGTTACAATTGTTACCTGCCAGCTTGGGGACGGAGCTCCAGCTTGTATGTCCATACTCAGCTATGTGTTTGAGCAACTTCTCATCCTCCTCAGGAGACCACAAGCCCCTTCTGAGTTTCTGCTTGTGTAAGTAGGATTGCTTTCCCATTTTCAGCTTGCAATGCAAATGCGTAGATGACGACTTGCCTGTTGGGATTGTGGAGGTATTTTATTCAGATTTTACTCGTGATGAATGAGAATGTGAAGAAATAGGATTCAGAGAAGCTAAGATTTGGAGAGCATTGGAAAGGAAAGGGAGTTAAAAATGGAGAATGGTCAAAATCATGATTCTTTTCTAATCCTCCAAGACAATTTACCCTTTTGAATTAGCTGCAAAAGTCTAATCACTCTTGAAAGCTTAATGTCTGTTAGCAGAAATGGTGGGGCAGCTGGCTTCTAATACTTTAATGACGGAGGAATCTGGAAGAGCAGCAAGTAAAAGCAAAGGATAAATTTCGAAAGAATAAAATTCAGTTCAAGTTCTACGCTTCTAATTGTTATGGATGTAAATTTTACAATTATTATATTGGCGCTGTCAGAATTCTAAAAATATTCATGATTGATGAATCATAACAGTAAAGATATCGCTATATCAGTCCCATCACAGCCACAAAGAAGATTACAGGTTTGAAAGCGAAGTGGGGCATTAATGTTGTGCCAATGAATAAAATATCTTGGATGAGTTAAGGTTCCTCTCAGTTGAAATCATGGCCTTAGACACTGTCTGCTTTCAGATTTTTTCTTGCCTACACCTTTTGGAGGCAAATTATTCTGTGCGGAGACCGCACGTAAGTTTATGTTCGAATTTGTTACACTTTTGTTGTGTTTTTACTATATTTTTGCTGTATTTCTTGCAAAAGGCAGATAATATATAATTTTAATTGCATAGTAGCTGTCCTTTTAAAAAAGTACAGGAAAAGTACAGTATAATCGTAGCAAATATCTTACTAATTAAATATTTGCTGCCCTTTTGCAAATACTCAGCAAAAGGGCAGCAAAAGGATAGCTAATACGCAATTTAAATAGTCTATTAGCTGCCTTTTGTTTAAATACAGCAAAAACGTAGCTAATTCGAACGTAAATTTGTGTGCGGTCTCCGCACAAAATAATTTGCCCCTTTTGAAAATAAACTGGCTTAAGTAGAATCCTAAAGTTGTTTGGTTATTCAAAGACTTGAGTTTTTATAATATAGATCAAAGAAGGGTAATATAAATTACATTGAAGAACTCACCACCCCTTTAGCTTCTCTTATAAACTATGATGGCATTGCTTATGAAGCAATATTTTTTTAGAAATAATGATCATTCTTCCTCTTATAGCAAAAGCTACCTTCTTTCTAGCAATAATGATAATTTCAGAAAATATTTTTCTGTTTCATGAAATTCTTTAAGGCTTCCCTTTTTGTAATTTCAATGGTAGGATTGGGATCATGATGGTCTTCGATAGAATTAACATAGCCTTTTTTATATTTATGATGCACAATTTCAGAAAATATATAGAGGGAAAGTAAAAAAAAAAAAAGATTAATACTTTTATTTTATAAATTTTCAGATACACGTCATGAAGATGATTAGGAACATTTTATATTTTATTTTGATTATTGATTGGTCATAAAAAATCACCTTGATCAAGCACGAATATCGAGGCATATCTTAGTGGGCAACTTTCAGAGTTAAATTCGGGATCATCATAACACCAATTTAAGCAAACTTACAATCAAATTGAACGTCTAAGTAAGGTGAACCCAACAACACATAAATTGGACTAATCCGAGCCCAAATGGACTCAAATCAGTGGCGGAGCCAGAAAATATATCTAGGGGGCCTAATTTTTTTTTTAATTTCCTTCAACTTTTTACACCCAGGCTTAAAACCAATATAATCAATATTAAAAATAATAAAACTTTGATAATTAATTAGTTTATTTTCTTCCTTCACAAAAATGACTTCAATCATAATATCATTCGATTTCTTCTAGAACATGTTTAATATATTAATTAAATACGTGATATTAAAAATCTCATTGCAAAAAAAAAAAAAAAAAAAACATAAAATCTCTTTAAGATCGAATCAATATAATATTAAGCTAACATCAATCAAGAAAAAAATATAAATGAATAGGAAATTAAATTGGGAGTGATTTGAATAGATGAGCGATGGTAAATTTCTTGATCGTGGACCGTTTATTGGGTAAATGTCTGAATGATATCAAAATTTGGCGATCTTCTTGGGCTCATTATATTTGTCTCGTCTAGCCGCTCGATTCGACTATAAGCATGTCATGTTTGAAAACCGTATGGTAATCCAAATTATAGTTTGAACCTTCTAAATATGCTTCGGGCCTTTGATTTAGAATCATTTGGGTTCAGATTGAGTTAAATTTGGTGTCGCTAGGTTTGTATTTTTGAGGCGTTCAGTTCGACTGTAAGTTTGATGGTCTGGCCTTGAGTAGGACGTCGGGTCTTAAGCAGGACGTCAGGTCTTCAGCAGGACGTCGGGTCTTCAGCAGGACGTCGGGACTTAACGTCGGGCCTTGAACAAGACGTCGGGTCTTTGGCAGGAAGTAGGGACTGAGTGTCAGGCCTTGAACAAGACGTCGGGTCTTTGGCAGGATGTAGGGACTAAGTGTCGGGCCTTGAACAAGACGTCGGGTCTTGGCAGGACGCCGGGGATGAACGTCGGGCCTTAAGGTGGTGGTCCGGCGAGGTTTTGTGGTGGTCCGGCGAGGTTTTGTGGTGGTCCGGCGAGGTTTTGTGGTGGTCCGGCGAGGTTCCTGCGGTGGTCCGGCGGTGGTCCGACGAGATTCCTGCGGTGGTCCGGCGGTGGTCCGACGAGATTCCTGCGGTGGTCCGGCGAGGTTCTGCGGTGGTCCGGCTGCTGTCGAGGAGGAACTCCTTCCTTCTCTTCTCTTCTTCTCTCTCTTGCTTGGATCCTTTCTTGTGAAGAATGAGGGCTCTATTTATAGATTTTCTGGAGTGGCATGGCCCGTAAATAGGTGTGAGATCAGGGGCGAATAGGGAGTGGTCAAATGGACGGCCGATATTGAATCCTACGATCGCGCACCGTTCATTGGACATTTGAAGGCCTTAGTGATGTCGGAATTCTGTGATCTTGGGCTCGTTGGATTCGTCTCGTCGAGCCCTTCGATTCGAGTATAAGCTCGTCAAAATCGGAGTCCGTTTGGTAACTCAAATTGCGGTTTGAACCTTCCAACAGCGCTTTGGATCCATGATTTGGACCCATTTGGGCTCGGATTGGGTTGATCTTGGTGTCGTTGAGTTCGTATTTCCGAGACGCTCAGTTCGACTATAAGTTTGCTGAAATCGGAGTTGGGGTGCTCTCGGAATTAATTTTTGTAGTTTCCAACTAGCATTTGCCTCAAGATTCGTGCCCGATCAAACTAATTTTGTGATGCCGTATGAATGATCATTCTTCCTCTTATAGCAAAAGCTACCTTCTTTCTAGCAATAATGATAATTTCAGAAAATATTTTTCTGTTTCACGAAATTCTTTAAGGCTTCCCTTTTTGTAATTTCGATGGTAGGATTGGGATCATGATGGTCTTCGATAGAATTAACATAGCCTTTTTTATATTTATGATGCACACTTTCAGAAAATATATAGAGGAAAAGTAGAAAAAAAAAGATTAACACTTTTATTTAATAAATTTTCAGATACACGTCATGAAGATGATTAGGAACATTTTATTTTTTATTTTGATTGGTCATCAAAAATCGCCTTGATCAAGCACGAATATCGACGCATATCTTAGTGGGCAACTTTTTAGAGTTAAATTCGGGATCATCATAACACCAATTTAAGCAAACTTACAATCAAATTGAACGTCTAAGTAAGGTGAACCCAACGACACATAAATCGGTCTAATCCGAGCCCAAATGGACTCAAATCAAGGACTTGAAGCATATTAAGAAGATTTAGATCATTAATTGGATGACAAAATGATATCCAAATATAGCATATTTATAGTCAAATCGAGCGGCCTGACGAGACGAATCTAACAAGCCAATGATCATCTAATTCTGATATCATTAAAGCACTTAATAATGAACAATTATTCTATGAACGGGTAATTCCTTTGTTCCTATGTGATTCAAGCGATTGCTGTTTGCAGGATGGGCCGTGCGCGGGCCCCGGTGGACTTGATATCAATTTAACAAATTTATCAAATAAAGCCATGTTTTCTATGAAAATACAAAAAAGACCTTGATGTTTTAATTATCTCGTGCAAGTAACCTCAAAGCTCGTCTAAATAATTTATATTATGTAAATTAGTGGGTTAAAAGTTGTTTTGGGTACATCTATATAAAGTAGGAGAGCCCGGAATTATTTTTAGTGGGAGCATATATTATTTTTTTCAAATATTCTCTCAATTTTATATCAACATTTGAGGTCAATATTGGCAATATAAATTTGTTTTTGCTTATAGTAATTATTTTAAAAAGATAAAATATAAAATGAAAAAAATTACAACTTATAACACTTATTTATTATATTCTAAAAAGTTTAATGATTACTTCAATATTAATACAATTTAAATATTTCTCTCTCAATTTGATTGCTAAAATATTATTAATACACTAATACCTTCTTATATTTCATAGCTAACTTTTTATAATAATCATAACAAAAAAAATTTATTTCAACTTACAGTATCTTAATATCAATACAATCAAATATTTATTTTAAACCAAAAGTAAAAGATTGTTAATATATCATAAAATAAGTTTTATTATAATATCCCAACATAATTTTTTTTATACAAAAATTAGAGCTATAAAAGGGTGATTAAAAAGATTAAAGTCATAATTTAACTATGATTTTATTTTAATAAATAATAAATACTATTAATATTATATAAGTAATAAAAAATATAAAAAAATTTGGGTCCCCCCTGTCTATTAAGATTAATTAAGCCAAATTTATGCACATATAATAACCAACAGACCTAGATTAACTTCAAACCTAAAACCTCTAAGTTGATAGTCAAAACTCATAACCAAAAGACTTAGATTAACTACGATTTTTTTTTTTTACAATGAGATGGTAGATTATTATTATGTGTTGGTAAGATATACTAACTAAAGAAAAAATAGTTCTTTTATGTACAAGAAGAGATTCATATCAATCTCAATGCAATGTGAGAATCATATATTTAGACGACCCTTTTTCAATGTAATCTAATACCCTTATAACGTCACAAAATATCATCATAATCGGACTTGAATTTGGAAGCATATTTGAATTTCAAAACTTCTAAAATTAAATTCGGGACTATTCAAACTTTACTTTCAACAAAATTATAGTTGAACTGAATGTCTCAATGAAAATAACCCAACAAAATAAAAATTAATCGAATTTGAGTCTAAATGGATCCTAAAGTACATTTAAAAGAATCAAGACATTCATTTTTTTTTTGAATCAAGACATTCATTAAATAATCAAATGATCTCTAAACGAGACCCTCAGAGCACTGTCATGTGGATATAATTCTCTGAACTCTTCATCTTGTATACTCTTATCCTTAATAACCCTCTAATCTAGCATTAGCGGTAATGAAATGGCTAACTCTTGGAACTCCCGCACACAATTGGATAAGGCATCGTCTGCCTTGTTCTCTAGCCCTGACCTATACTGGATCTCAAAGTTATAGCCAAATAGCTTTACAACCAGATATGATGTTCATTGATCACCATCCTATGCTCCAACAAGAAATTTAAGCTCCGTTGATCTGTCTTGACAATGAAATGTCGGCCCAACAAGGTTGTCACTTATGAACAGCCAATACGGTGGTCATTAATTCCCTCTCATAACTTCAATCGAGCTCTAGCTGTTAACACATGGCTGAAGTATGCTATGGGTTTGCGATTTTGCATGAGCACTGCTCCCGATCCATATCAAGATGCATTAGTCTCTACTATGAACATCTAGCTAAAATCAGGTATGGTCAGGACTGAGACTGTGGTCATGTTTGTCTTTAATATCTCAAAGGACTAAGTGGCAGCCTTTCCCCACAATAAGTTGTACTTCAGCTTATATGTTAGAGGCCAAGCTATGGTATTGTATCTCCTCACAAATCTCTTGTATTACCGTGTCAATCCTATAAAGCCCCTCAACTACCTCAAGTTCCTAGGTAGAGACCATTTCAATATTACATCAATTTTGGCCTATTCAGTTGCTACCCCTTCCTAGGATACCAAGTGCCCCAAGTACTCCACACTAACCTGTGCAAAACAACATTTACTCATATTGGCCCTTAGTTGATGCTCCTGGAGCACTTTTAATATCGCCTTTAGATGCTCCTGATGCTTCTCATTGTACTTGTGGTACACCAAGATGACATCAAAGGAAACTAGAACAAACTTCCGGAGGTAAGGTTGAAACACCTTGTTCACGGGGATTGGAATATAGCAAGGGCATTAGTGAGGCCAAACAACATCACCAAGAACTCATAGTGTCCCTTGTGTGTCCAAAAAGCTATCTTCGAAAAATCCTCCCCTCTCATCTAAATCTGATGGTACGCGAACTTCAGATCCACCTTTGTGAATATCGTTGCCCCACAAAGCTCATCTAGCAACTAATCTATCACTATAATATGAAACTTGTTTGGCACAATCTCCTTACTTAAGGCCCGATAATCCACTCTCACCTCTCTCCTCAACTTCCTCATCATTACAAATAATGATAACCTGAAGAGTTCTGTCTTTACACTTATACCCTGGTGTGTACTTCTCATCACATCTGAATATAATCGTTTTCCCTTTTATCCTGCATCTCCGCTTCTGTGAGTTGCTTGAAGTTGCCCCCATGGTGAAATCCCCCACTTTTGTCTCTTGGAGCTTCTCTCTAAAAGGATACTGTCTAGGTTTTGGGTTCTGGAGTTATAGGGGTACTCTAGTAGGCCCCACCCATGATGTTGCTTCAGTTGGCCTTCTCCCTTTTATACTTCTTCTCCACCCTCTGACAAGCTTCATCGTCTCCCTCAGCCACCTAGGCCTTAATATCTTGAGTTCTGCATGTATGTCCTCCCTAAGCCCCTTCATAAAATTCCCTTCATATCCTTCCTCCGAGATTCTCCTGAATGTCCCCGACATCAGCTCAAACTTCTCTCAGTACTCCATAATTGTCTCTTCCTGAGATAGGGCATAGAACTGCACATATAGGTCTCCTCAAATGGCTCAAAAATGTTCAAACAAGCACTCTTTAAAATCTCCCCATGAGTAGATAGGATACCTAGCCTCCCTCCATTGGAACCAAGCTAGGGCTTTCCCTTCCAAACATAAACCTGCCACCATGAGTTTAGTCAACTCGTTGATAGCAAAGTAACGTTCCACCCATTACACCCTCATTCAAAGGCATGCATCTTTAACTTCCTTAGTCTCGCATCCATACCCTAATGTTTTCTTCACTCGTTCGTTCCTCCGGTGTGGTGATGGCGTGATTCCCTTCCTTCCTTCCTCCCTTGGTTGGGTATGACCTCATGGCTCCTCTCAATCATGCCCTTCTCAATTCCACCTCTCCGCATGCCCAGGTAGTCTCGCAAAAGGGTTGGCTTCCCTCCTTGTTGTCTTCCCTTCGAAATATCTCGATCCGCCCACCAACAGGGCCCCACCTGGTGGTCCTTGATGGAAAACACTTTCCCATTCATCATCGTCCTCCTAGATCTCCTTTCCTAGTGGTTCCACCCTAGGAATTGTCAGTGATGCTTTCGATTGTATCTCAAGCATTTGATAGGAAGTGGATACAAATTCCTTGAAATCATCGAACGGTGATAAAAAAATTAGTAAGAACACACCTAAGCTCATTTTATTGCAAGAAATATGAAAGAAAAATGCAAGATACATTTTGGACTTTTATTGGAAAGGAAGATCCGACTCTCCCAAATTCCTAGCTGGCGGCTAGAGCCTTCACAACCTAAAAATTTCTAATTTCAGTAAACTCAAAATATAATCTTGAAATCACTCTATTGTTAGTCTTAAATAAGCTCCCCCAATTCCCTTGTAAATCATCAATTTTTCTCTAAATTATTTCCTATCATATTTGATTTCAAATTAGATATATTGCCCCAAATAATTCCATCTCAATTGTAATTAAAACTTTCTTAAATAATTTCCCTTTGATTAAGAGCCTTCCTAAATAGCTTCCTCTTAATTAGAAAACTTCATAATTCATTTCCAATCAAATCGATTGGTCTATGAATTTTCCCTCCCAAAGTGCCACCTTGTCCTTAAGGTGGAATGAAGGAAACAACTACTGAAGCACTGGACTAATAGCACTGCATTGAAAAATAGACTGGCAATGATTCAAATGATCATTGCCTCCAGCATCTCCCTAATCAATATCTCTATCTCATTCTTCTGGAATGGGTGAGAATGGTATGAACGAACACTGATATGTGAGACTCCTTCATTCGAAATGATAGCATGCTCATGTTCACACGGAGTTGACGACCCCTGAACTGGCTGGAACACCTCTCGATACTGTTATAGGAGTGGTTGAATCATGTATGGTGCTACTATCTTCTTCCTATCTTCTTCTCCTTCCAAACTCTGCAGCTCCATAAAAAATCTCACTCATTCAACATTTCCCCTCATTAGAAGTGGCTTCAAAGGTGGCATCTCCTCTTCTTCTCCCCAAATTTTCACTTTATGATCTTTAGTTTTCCTAAGAGGTGGCTTTTGATGAAACAAGCTCTCTTCATCAAACATTTCTTGTCTGATCTTTTTCCTTTTAGATTCGGCCACGGGAATCCTGATCAAGTCTTGATTAAGGTTAGCAATTGAAACCGTCAACGAGATTTTGGATCACATCTCCACGAATTTTCTCATCATCTCTTCCAGAATTTCCTTTCTCTTTGATTCAACCTGAGGAATCGCCGTGAAGCCTTCAACTGCATCTCGATCATATTCTTTATCATATCCTCCAATTTCTCAAAGCGTTTCTCAATAGATGAGAGCCTTCCTCGCCCAAATATTTTTTTCTCCGTGCAAGCCCCGAGTTATTCGATCTTGACTTCCAACACATCCATCTTCTTTACTGTTATTAACAAATCTAGGTTCCAAACCACGAAAAACAACAAATAAATCAACAAATCTAGTCTTCAAATGGTGAAAATCAACAATACGGGAAGAAAAATGCAGCAAAAATCAGCTTTAATGACTTAAATTTCAGCCCAAAACACCGCTCTAATATCAATTTCTTAATAAATACTTGCAGAAATTGAAATAATATAGATAAAAGAAGAAATCAAAAGAAATTTGGTGACAAAACACTAGGAAAGCTTGATAATTGATGAAAAAGGTAAGAAAACAAATAAGATATAATGTACATTCAATTCAAAACGAAGATCCAACTCTCCTATCCCTTAGCCCGCGGTTAGAGCCCAAGCAAATCCTAAGAGATACAAATTCAACCAAACATAATATAACCCTAACACTTTCCCCCTTATTTAAAAAATATAATTATAATGATAATTACTAAACATACCCTCCCAAAATTAATTCCCTCCTAAACAGTCGTCTCCTTTTTAAATTTGCATTCAAATCATGGGCCCCACAAGGGGGCCAAGAGGTTGCTTGGTCCTGAAACACACCAAGGGCTGGCCTTGATGCTGAGCCAGCTGGACCGGTCTAACAAAATCATTAGGCATTAGCTGTAGTTCACAAAATATAAATTCATTTTATAAAATTTTGCTTGAGTTTTGCTGTAGTATTGAAATGACAAATGCAAACTTTCCTAAACGATTACACTAATCATGTTGTACTGCAATGTATATATACTCCTTTAACCAACAAACTAATTATGATCCTAAGTCAGACCGCTGCAACATCTCCTGAAATAAAACTAAAAAATAATTCTTTTTAACAACTTTTCAACAGAAGTCAATCACTAGCTTGTCAACAGAACTAGAAAATGACGTTTCCGTTACCAGGGAAAGATCATAGACATCTCCTGAAAAAAAAAAAAATCTTTTCAACAACTTTTTAACAGAAGTCAATTACCGGCTTGCCAATAAAACTAGAAAATGATGTTCTTCTTTTAAAGAGTTACCAATCTTAAAGATGCTGCCATTTTGTTAAGTGAGTCACTGCAAAATACTCAATTGCTATCTATGCTCTCTATGCAAGTATATTTACACTAACATAAACTATTTGCAATTGGAAAAAAATGTTTACTCTAGTTAAGCCGCTTCCAGGTTGAGCTTTGATAGATTTTGGCTGAGTGCTTCAGGTGATTCCTTAATTGTACGTTGCTTCAGTTCAGAAGGAACCTGGATTTGGCGCTGAGGTATTTCATCAGCCAGCTCCATCTCAAGTTTCATGAAGTCATCCTCAACATCATCATTTCCGAAATCTACAGACTGAAGTGGCATTCTTTCTGCAAGAAATACAAACCCAAAACCAAAATTTACAACTTTTATTGCCAAACAAGAAGAACAAAACTCATATTTAATATGTAAAAGTTTGTTCCACAATGTATCCTAACTTCTTGAACGAGCTTACTGAGGAGAGACAGAAAGGAAATCAAAAGCTGAAGAAGAAAGAAACTGCTACCTATGGCTTCATTAATTTGCTTTTGATCGGTAATGAACTCATCAAGTTGCTGAAGTTGAACATTGACTTCTTCCACATTGAGCATGTTTTCCTTAATTGCTTTGGCACCAATTTGCATAGCTTCAGATACCTGAAACAGGGGGAATGAAAGAATTCAGCTTGTAAGAGCACATTAATAATATAATAAATCTAAATTTTCTCACAATATCTGCCCTCTTCATATCCTAGGAAGAAATGTAAAAGCAACATTACCATCTTTGTGGAGTTGGTGTCTGTAATTACAGATAGAACTTCTTCAACTCGCTCTAAAAATGATATGCATTTAGCCCTATTCTCTGAAAACAACTTGGCCTGTCGTATATGTCTATAAGCAGCCTGTTTGTTTCCTGATCTCAGAGAAGCTGCTGCCATTTTTCTAGAGCTGCCAAAACATGACGGAGGAATAAGAATATAAAATTTCAACATCTTCAAGTTCCTGTCAAAATAAACTTATTAAAATTACTACAAAAAGGAGAATATGCGCCTCTTCCTATTAGAATATAAAATTTCAGGATTTTCAAGTTCCTTTCATCATGACCTTATTAAAAATTCTAAACAAAAGGGAATTTGGTCCTCTTCCGGAATAAGTGGGACATAATGCAAATAGATCTGGTCGAATAAAATACACATGAGGAATCAAATAAATTACAAATTATTTTATGAATATAACAAAATGGAACCATATCACCATGTTGAATGGAGCTTAAGAAAAATAAACAGATTCATAAGAGAAGAACTTATTGGAACCGGTGACATTTCACAATGAAACTTTAATTTAAAACATGTTTGCCGAGCAACTCAAAGTACATTTAGACCAACAGTTGCATCTAAAAAAAAAAGCTAAGTTATTTGATATATTTTAGAGCAGATATAAATATTAAAAATAATAATAAATTAAAAAACCCAGCATTCACAACAAATGCTTTAAATGCATCCAAATGAGACAATCAGAATACAATCACTGTAGCAACAAAGCAAAGAATTTTCTCTACGGTGCCACAAATTGACTATTTTAAAAATACCATCAATATTTTTAATAGATATACATAACGATAAATCTTAAAATTATGGAGGGGTCATAAATTGAATATTTTTTATGAAAATTATATTTATAGAAATAAAAAATATATATAATATATAAATAAGTCTTAAAATTTCACAGGAGGAACGTGCCTCTCATGACCATGGTATTATACCATGGTTAATAAAATTAGCATAATCAAGTAGGGGTCCCTATCCTCCATTTAGGAATTGCAGACTAGTATTAGAAATTTGTGAAGGATTTTATGCAGATTGTTTTGTCATAATCCAAACTGGCACAGATGGCAATTCAATTAGGATGTACTGCAGTGTAAGATTAGAGTTTTCAGAAGTTAAAGGGTTATTTAATTTTTTACCCTATAATCAGTATTTATTATGTTAAAAAATATTTCTAGATCTACAGTGATCTCTCACACAAGGGATCAAGTTGTGTTAATGAGAAGGTAATTTCATATGTTTCTAGACAGATAAAAACTAATGAGAAGAACAATAAAAAAAGTGATATAGAGTTGCCTATAATTGCATTTGCCATGAAAACATAGAGACATTATTTGTATGGACTCTAAAGTGAAGTATACACCAATCATTAGAGTTAGAATTATACATTCACTCCAAAAGAGTTAAATTTGACGAAAAAAGATGGTTGAATTAATCAAAGACTAAGATTTTAGTGTTCAATATACTAATGCTACAGGTTGGTTACCCATTAAGGAGTTTATTTTTATAAAAGAGAGAGATAAGTTGGAGTTTGATGTAAAAAGATAGGAAATGAGCATGAAGAGAAGTTACATCAAATAAATGTGAGACATATTTGAAGGATAGAATTCAGGAAGCTCAATAAATAAATGAGAGGCAAATGAAAAATGTGAAGTTAACCAAAGTCGGAAAGAAGAAAAGAATAAAAGGTTAATGAAAGCGGTGTAGTAAAATGTGGAGGTAGATAGTGGGTCCCTAATTATTTGCGCTTGAGACAATATTTTGCATGAGGCAAACAAAATAAAAATTGATGTATAAGGACTTGAGGTTAACTTTTGAGGCTGGAATTAAAGATTGATGTGGCAAAATTTGTTGATAAATGTGAACCATTTCAAATCATGAAGGTAGAACATTAATGACACTAATTTGTTGCAGTCATTATCCATGCTATAGTGAAAAATGGGAGTAGATTACCATGAATTTTGGGTGTTCCAAGTTCAAGGAAAGGACATGATGCAACCTGGGTAGCTATTGCCAAATTGACAAAGTTCATGCATTCAATAGCTGAGCTTTAAAAGCAAATGATAAGCATATAACAAAAGCACAAATCATGAATTGGCTTGAGGGGAAAGGGAAATACATAGATATATTAAAACATAAGCATAGTATGTACTAATAGTTGAAAATCATAATTTTTCTAACATATCTTATTATATATACACTTTTAATGTGTTTCTTGATAACTCATATCTACAAGTTAAAGATTAAACAAGTCCATAAAAAAAAAGTACGTCGTTTCAATCAAAGGCTAATTTTAATGGGCTTAAAAATCTTTGTGGGAAAAAATATGCATGCAAACTTGCTAGAGTACAAAGAATATAAGGGACAAACCATTTACCCCTTTCTTGATAAAGGATAGAAAATGGTTTAAAACATAAAATAAATGCAATTTATGGGCAGAGAAATCCCAAATGAGCGCATAAACAATAAGTTATAGCCTTCTTCCTCATCTTAAAAAAAGTAGGATACTTATTCAATCATTTTGTATACTCTGCCTAGTAAATTATCTTGCAACACTTGACTATTGTAGGTTAAAACCCGGCAAATGATGGAGGATGGAGATTTCTACTACCTACAAATCTATTATCTTGATTTAATTAGATTGTAGAGCAAATACATTTGCATGAGAACGAAACTTAGTAATGAAAATACTCTCATTATGCTATATCTAACCTCCAACAAAAATTTTTATGTATATAAGTAATTTAAATAAATCAAAAGCCAAAAAAAAAAAAGACTAAACCAGAAAAAAAAAATTAAAAAAAAAATGTAGCAAGCACCAGCGATCAACATAAAGCAAGCTATTTTGCATTGTTGTGCTTTGCCATTTAAATAATGCAGGAGTTGTGTTTTGCTATGTTAAGGGCCATAATATGTACTATTTTGTATTTTTGGAATGTACGCTTCATAGTGATGCATTCTAAAGTGTATGCAATGACGGAAATGAATGACAGTTAAGTAATGATTGTAATAGAATGTATACTCGTGTGTGAAAGATTGAACAGGAGCTCACAGTTTGGCAAAGATAAACATTATCCCTACTGGTGGATCCAAATTTGTTCGTGAGCAGCATCAAAATCTTACTGAAAAGAATGACTTGATAACAAGGAAAATAAAAACTAGAAAGAGAAAAATAGAATCTAAAGTGAGAAGCTCTGGATCTTCACTAAAATATTAGAGGAACAAGTGCGGTGACTCAATTTTTTAATCAAGTCACCTCGATTTTATAAAAATTCAATTTCAACTCAATTTTAACTCGAGGCTATTCAATTTAATTAAGTTTGACTAGTTTATATAATTTGGACTCAATTTTTTAGCTCGAGCTACCTAAAATCGATTATCCTATCATAGGAATTTGACCTTCCTCTTCCTAAACCCATATAAATCCGATGATTTCCAATGGATGGTTCTTATTTGAGAAATTAAGCATGAGGGAGATAAGGCGTCGGGTCATTGGACTCATTACTAATAAACCCCCAATGCATTAAAATTTCATTCATACCAATCATTTACCTGCAACAAACCCCAAGTTTTTTGTAGCCATTGGATCCAAATTCAATGGTTATGCACTTGACCAAATCAAGTTGCTTAATGCTTAGGTTTTAGATTATAATAAAATTAATCTAAAAATAGTGCATGCCCCTTTTGCTAGAGTTTTCAAAATCCTAAATTTTTATAAGATCATTAAATAGGATTATTTAGTTTTAATTAATCATAAAACAAATTTGGGATATATCATAGGCACTCATATACCTATAAATTAAATTCCATCATATTTAAATCTATTTATGTATTTTTCAAGTTAAATGGTTAAGTGAAAAAAAAAATCCATAATTATAAAAACTCCTAAAAAATTTAAATCACCCTTTCGTATGATTCCAAGGTCTTAGATTATGCCAAAATTAATCTAAGATCCTCCGAAAAAGCTATCGGAGCGATATTCTCTATTTTAAAGAATCCAAAGCATTCTTAAGAAAAAAATAAGAACCATCTTTAGGAACCCTCTTTCCTTGTGCATGGTATTTTGAAGCTCCCCAAAGCTTCAAGCACCCCATTGTTCAAATCTTAGGACGCCTTTAGATCCTAATTCACCCTATGACAAATCTTAGGTTGTCTTGATTCAAGTTGAAACAAATTCAACTTGAATGATCCTATCCAAAGTCCTTTGTTTTGTGTTTTCTTAGACACTCAGGGGTTCTCAATTAACCTCTAAAGAGTCAAAGAGAGTATACACAAGGTCCTTAAGACCAAATCCTAGGTTGCCTAATTTGTTTGTTAAGCCAAAATCAACAAATCCCTATTTTAGGCATAGGATACCAATCCTAGTCCCATGTTTTTGCTTAACACAAATTAAGCAAATCAAACCTTCATCCTTGATTATGAAAATTCAAGGACACCTGCTATATTTGTAGCCCTAAAGTTACAAATAACCTCTCATTTCTATGGACCTATAAGTCATAAGACAAGCCACTTTCTTAACCTGAAAGTAATAAAAATTACTTAACCCTTAGCCTCAAACCTAGGGGTGTCAATTTCGGGTTACGAGTCGGGTTCGGGTCGAACCCGGAACTGACCCGACATTATTCGGGTCAACCCAAACCCGACCCGTTTTTACAAACGGGTCGATTTTTTGGACCCGAACCCGACCCGACACGAAAAGAAGAAACTGGTCCACTGGAAGAAGAAGCGCGAATGCGACGGCAGGCCGGCGGAGGAACTGGAAGAAGAAGAACGGCAGGCCGACGGACAGTCATGGCAATCCGATGGAGGACAACGACATTTCTTTGACGAAAAAAAATAAACAACATGGTGACGCGCTGACGGCAGGCCGACGGAGGGCCATAGCAACGGCCGCACTCGGCTGCGAGAGGGCAGGCTGGCGGAGGGCTCCACTGACGGACACGACAATGCTCTGACGCGGTGACAACCTGAGGAGACGCGATGGCCTGACGGATCCCTGACCGCTACGAGATGGCTTGACGGGTCAAAACAAGTTGTTTTCGGGTTACCGGGTCAACCCGAACTCGACCCGATTTTAGAAACGGGTCGAAATTCCTAACCAGAACCCAAAAATTTCGTTTCAGGTTCGAGTCGGATTTTCGGGTCGCGTCAAATATTGACACCCCTACTCAAACCTATATGTTATACTCTCTTCCTCAGCCTCAAAGCTATACGAGATCTCATAGTCCTTAGCCTTTTAAAGCTATAAGTTAAATCACATTTTTCCCTTAGCCAAATGCTATAGGAAGACACATTCTCCCTTCCCTTTGGCCTCAAAGCCAAAGCATACATGCTTAACCCAATCAAATAGGTGATCTCCCAATTTAGATCTATACTTCAGATAAACATCTCTTGGCCAAAATATGTTTCAATTAATCATAAATTGAAATTCAAAATTTTAGGTCTCTTTAGAAGCCTATTTCTCCTTAAATCACCCTATTTCTCCCAAAATTTTAGGTGATGGAAACTCATCAGCTCCTCGAGGTGATGCAGTTGAGTATGTTCCAAAATGAATGGCATTATCGTGCTACATCTTCTGGCAAGGTATATGTTTTTTTTTGTTTGCTTTATTGCAGTGATTGTGTTGCTTTCAATTTATGATGAACACTTTACTTCTTTTTTGTTATTTTCGTTGAAGAAATTCAATGTCTTTAGTTAGGGAGCAACTATTTATCGAGCAAGTTGAGGTCAACTCTATATAAATTAAGGGATGACTCTTTGTGAAGTGACTCAAATATGACTCTTTGATTTTCCAAGTTAATGAGACTTCTTTATATGACGATGGCAACCCTGTATAAGGCGAGTTGGAGAAAAGAAAGTGAATCTTTTTGAAATGGTGAAGATATGGACAAGATATGGTGCATTAACGATAGATGTGATTTGAGCCTCAAAAACTAGATCATTATCCTATCTATATAACCCTCACCCAGACAGGAAGGGTACTATATTTGTAGAAAGACATAAATAATGAAGAAAATTTTTAGAGCTAATATACATGTTTAATAGATCTATTTTCTCATAATTTTTCCCCTTTGGTTTACTGTTTATGATGACCCAAAATCCTAAACATTAAAAAAAATAATAATAATAAAATTGATGAAAACCTCACTGGAGATGTCCACTTTCATTTCCAAGTGAATTTTCTAAAATCCACCCTATATTTTGAGATCTTGAACTATTTTCTTCCCACAATTGATTAGCTCTGGACAGATTGACAAAAGTTGAGTCCAAGGACAAATTACCCCACCAACTAACCCCATCAATTTCAGATCAACACTAGATATCATTTTAAACATATATCAATTTTGCAAGAAAATCCCACCACCACATCAACGTCAAACTTCTTAGAGAGGATTGTGAACAAGAAGACTCTCCAAGAGCCCAAGTGCTCTGCTGGGAACTCTTGAACTATGTAAGTACAATAAGAGGGCAAGTGCTTTTTGCTAACCAGCTCACTGTCACGGTACCTGTTCTTTCCCTTACACCCAAGCTATGTTCTTAGGTTACACTAATCAAACTATCTCCTTAGCCTAAAGTAATATGTAACAGAGATTGCTCCTTTGGATGTCAAGATAACCTACAATTTCTCGGTTACAATAGGAGATAAGAGCCCTATAAATAAGATATTATACCGATCAATGAACTTTTTTACATAAGGAGCATCAGGCACCATGTCACACCTATTGCAATGCTTTCACAAATTGATGTGCAATGCAAAAAAAATGCCAAAAAGGTGATATATTATATTCAACCTTCTAAAACAAACCACAATCAAGTATAAAGAATAAGTACTTCTCCCATCGTTGACCGACTGTGTCAACTTGCTGCAGCAACTTCTCTCTTGTCCAGAACAAGTGCAAAAGATCATAGTCAAGGTCTGTGACCGCTTTAATAGATGCTGAAGTAAGGGAAAGCTTTACACCCTGAATACAGCAACTGAACTAAGTATAGTCCTGGAAAAGACTAGAAGTAAATCATAAAATAAAGAATTATCTATAATGACAAATAAAAAGAATTAACAGGATAAAATGAATTACCTCAATAAACTCATTCTTCCTCACTGACAAATAGTATGCCTGTCTAGTTTCACATAGGTGAGACAAAATGGCAGAAGTTTCTTGAGAGCCCTTGCAGAGACTTTGAAAGTTCTTCATAGTAATGACGCATGTAGCCGTCCAGTTGCTTGCACTTAAGGTTTTAATAACATCAGCAGCTCTTTCCTGAAAATGCAAAGGAAAACATCTCATAGTGTATTCAAGCTCATTTGAGTATTGAAAATTCATTTATCTTAATGTAAAAATGATGCATACCTGCAGCAGTACCCTAAGAATAAAAGTATCATCGGAGTTATCTTCCAGAGAAATTGATCTAAAAGTGCCCAAAATCTGTCCTGCCCTCCTGAACAACCGAGAGAGACGTCCACTAGTCGGATTGCTTAGTTCCCTTCTTAATAGAATGTCCCCATTGAGATGCATTTCGTGCTGGCGGAAGTGATAAATGGTTAAAAAGAAAAAACAACCTTAAATTGTTCAGAACCATCACGCAAAAAGAGTTGGAAAGAAAGTTTCGTTTCAAAGTATTCCGTTGCAACACTAGAATTTAATGCATACAATAAGTAAAACAGTTCCATAGTACAACAGTCATACGATCTCCATTCTAAAAAAGCAGCAGTTTAGATACTTTATGACTATTTTGTTTTTAGAAGAGAGGAAAGGCCAAGCAACAGTAAGATACAAACAATTTTTTGGCTGCTTCAGCACTTTATTAATGAAGACAAAGGGTAAAGCAAAAAAAAAACAAAAAAATATTGATCATCCATGAAAAAAGTGCCTCCATTTGCCCTACTAGCAAGCAAATCAGAAATATCATTCGTGATATAATTTGTCATGCATAAGGAGTTTGCAGTTTGAGTCTAAAGGTTTTCGTTTGAGTAAATCTAAAATTGAATATATGGAGTCTAATTTTAGTAGTAATAGATCTAGTGTGAGATTGTGACTTTGGGTGATAAGTCATTAATAAGAGCACACAGTTTTAGATATTTTGGGTCTATTGTTTAGAGTGATGGTGAAATAGATGGGAATATTATCAGTAGAATTCAAGTTAGATTGTTGAAGTGGAGGAATGCATCAGGCTTGTTGTGTGATCCAAAAGTTCCCCTCAAACTTAAAGAGAAAATTATATAAAATGGTGGTGAGACCTGCAATGCTTTATGGTGCAAAATGTTGGCCATTAAAAGAGAAGCATAATATTAAGTTAAGTGTTGGAGAGATGACGATGCTCAAGTGGATGAGTGGCTTTACTGTTAGAGACAAAATATGAAACAAGCATATCCGTGAAAAGGTTGGAGTAGCTTCAATGGAGGATAAGATTAGAGAGAGTTGCCTTAGATGGTTTGATCATATAAAACGGCGTCCTTCCAATAACCTGTTCTGGAGAGTAGATGTATTAGATTTAGCTTATGTTAAAAAAGATAGAGGTGGAACTAAAAAGAATTGGTTAGAAAATATTAGAAGTGGCATTTTCTTTATTAGATTTAAATGAGAATTTGACACTTAACAGGACATAATGGAGAAAAATGATTCATGCAGCCGACCCCATGTAATGGGATAAAGGCTTGTTGTTGTTGTTATTGTAGGGAGTTTGCAATTGCATTCACTAAAGATAACATTTTCAAGAGTTATTTGGGCGCTAATATGATAAAAATTCCAAGGGAAGGTGTTCTCAATGCTTTTACAACTTATAATAATTATAAGTCATCATTATAACAATGATGATGAAAGACAATACGTACAAGAATTCATGGTCCTATTCAAGATATGTAAAACATCTTTAAACAGCTACCGTTAAGGATGAATCAAGGCATCAGTAGCAATAATGTGGCCTTGATCAATCAAACATTTTCCTTTTCTGACCCTTGATCATCAATGCGAAGCTCCTTACCTCACATCTACTACTGCTTGTCTCTGATGGAGCTGTATATTCTATTATCATATACACAATAGATATAAGTTCAACTCTCTCTTAATGTGCTCATTTAGCCTTCTCAGTAGCCTTCTCAGTATTAAAGAGCATAAATGACACTACTATTGTGAAGAATAATTTGTGTGTTAATATAACCCAGTTGGCTATTTATGAACTTCTTCGTTTTCTCCTGCTTCATGGTACTCTTTTTGCTAGTAAAAAGCTTCAAGTAACATCTCTCAATTCCAACTATACAGTTCTATTTCAAACTAATTATATTCATGGTTATATTATCCTTATTTGGTACAAAATTGAAGACGCCTAGACCAACTACTCCAATTAAAACTTAGCTTTAATCAAAGTATTATTTCCTTTTTTTCATTTCCAATGAATTAACAAAGTGTCTAGTATTTTTCCTATTTCAGCCTATTTTCTGAAGCTTTCTCTCCATTGCTGTAATTTGCATTTTATTCAAGAATTATTTAACGTAATTAGAGTATTAGACAATATATCATCTACAAATAGCATCTCTTCAAAATTCCACTAAGAAAATTTAGATGAAAAAGGATAAGAAAAAACAATAAAAATCATTGCTGCACATTATAGTAGATTAAGCGTCGGCAACTTACCAGAACTTGTTCCATGCATAAAGGTGTCAGGCCTCCCCGAGAAAACCAAGTATTTTTCAACTAGAAACAATATGATCAGAAGAAAGCATAAGTCTAGAAATTTTAAATTTATTATCTAATCAAAATATTTTCAATATATGCAGCATTTTGTTTAGCAGAATGAATATATGCCATGAGTAACAGCAACATATCCAAGAAGAAAAGCAGTGTTTTGTTTTAGTAGGGAAAATGAAAAAATTGCCCATCAATAAATCTGAATTCATTTATAAGTTGCAACAGACAAGTTATTCTATTTCTACCAACAATTATTTGGTTGAGTGGCATTGTCTTTGATCTCTAAAGTGAAGCTCCATTGTTTTAATCCTTGCAGAAAAAAATTATCCCAAGTCTTGTTTACAGTTTCTTATCATCAACAAAGAAAGTAAGTTGGGATAGTAGCTTCACACTTGAGATCATCATCACCTGAACTTGTTACCACAACAAGAACTAGTCAACAAATAACTTGGAAATGCTGCCAGAATAACAAAAATTGAGGGTTGATGTGAAGATGAAAGACCATCATAAAATCTTTGCAAGTTGAAGCAAAAAAAAAGTCACATGCAGCAAAATTGAGTGTCACAAAAATAATAATTTTAAAATAAAAGTGTAGGTAAATTTGATATAACAAAGATGAATTATCATATAAAAGGAAGTGAAGTGTAACACTTGTTATTTATTAAAAAAAAAAGTAAAAAATAGGTTTGGGTGATTTGGATGTGTACAATAGATAGAAAAATAAGGACCACTAGGCTAAGTATATCTAATCAATATAAATGGAAACAATTGAACATTGTAGACCAAAATGTTAACATGACTATATGTTGTGAAAAAGATAGTTGCTTAAAATAGAGTAAACACAACTTACAGCAATTACAAAAGAACAAATGATAGAGGGTCTATAAAGCTAACAAAAAATTATTGAGATTAAATTAATGGAAATTATAATCTCATGTTTTTTAGTCCAAAACAGGAATCTCGTGAATGATGTAAGAGAGAACAATTTGTAAAACAAAAAATTATCAAGCACAAACAAATCAACCTATTAATGAGCATTTCAAAGTCCTACAGTAATATTTTAAGGTTGTTGACCACAAATAGTTGGAGTCACTTCTTTCATTGCCAACCTATTATACCTTAAGGACTAGATTCTAAATTGGAATACCAACAAGCCATTTAGAGTATTCACTGTTAAAGATTACTTCTTTCCGAAGTTAGCCCAAAAGATATTCTTTTAGACGACGCTGGATCATTAACAGATAGCATAAAACAGAACTTCGAAGTTTTTAGAGCAAAATATCAGATCAAAAAATAAATTAATAATCTTTAACCCAGAGAAAGTTCGGATTGGAGACATCGGAAGAGCAAAACTGAAACACATTGTGGATTTCTGAAGAACGGTAACCAATTAAAAACAATAAAAAATGCGGACCTCAGAGATTCGGACGACGCAAACGCCGAGATTGCGAGCAACCTTAAGGATGAGATCTCTCCAGAAGAGGAAACGAGGCTCCCAATCCGATCTCTGGCCACTGAAGGCTTTGAAACGCGCAGTAGCCACAACCTCATCGTCCCAATCTGGCACTTCGTTCTTCACCAAGTCGCTCACGGACGAAACGGATAAGGACGTCGAAGAACTCGTCATCAAAGAACCGATTAGTTTGCAAAGAGATTTGAGGAGAAATGGACACACATCTCAATGACAATAGAGGATTTTGACATCGCACGTCACCTCTCAAGAGGGTTAATTGCGTGCATTGATAACTTAGATGCTGTAAGTTTTCCCTCCAATATCCAAATCAGAAATATCGGATGGAAATTCGTCCAATTTCAGATCTATTGAGGTGTATTAAAACTCAAAATTCATCAAGAAATCTGCCGAACAGAAGCATAGGGAGGCCCTCACTTCCAATAGTGAACTAGGGTTCGCTGACGTTCGATTTGCTCGTCTTCTGAAAGCTGTTGTCAGAATTTAAATTTTTTTATAAAAAAATTAGACAGTAAACTTTTTATGCTCGTTATGTTTTAGCATAACTTAATATCAAAAAAATTAATCAAAAATATTTTTATATAACAAGAAGAAATTTATAGCTAAACATTAATGTGCGTGAATTCTGTAAACAAAATTGTGAAAAATATTTCAAATGTATCAAAATGAAATTATATGAAGAAGGAAGAAAAAAAAAGCGGCTCCTCTATCCATGTAAAAAAAAAAAAAAGCAGTCCTAAGATCGGAACCCAAAAAAATTCCAAGATCTCTGATTTTGTAAGTGTTATTTTCTTATTTATAGAAGTGTGGTGCAATCAGTATTATATACTTACGATATTTAGAGAGACTATTACGTGCAGACGTTGCTTATGTCCGGATGCCAATCAAGTCCCACCACATCATCCAATACACTGTGTATTGGGTGATGTGGCGGGGTCTAATTGACTCCGGACGCATTCAACGTCTTCACATAATAAATTTTTCATCATTTGAGTCACTATGGTTAAACTAATCACACAATATTATTGTTGGTTATGCGCTTCACTTGAATTTGATATATGATTGAATGTTTAATTTGACCTAATGAGGATTGTTTGACAAAAGTAGGATGAAATTTTAGTAGGACTTAATAAATTTTATAAATCTTGGATATGTTAAATCCTAAAAATTGATAAAATAGTTTTTTTTTAATTTTATTAAATCATATTAAATCCAAAACTTATGACAAAAAGAGGGAAACAGGGGTTTTAATCTTCCTTGAGATTTACAAGGCTCTTAAATCCTATTAAATACAGTTGCCAAATAGTCCCTTAGTATTTATTGAACCTAAGCACTAAGGATGAGTTATGTTTGCATATAAACTCATTTAAATTCTTCTCAATTAAAGTTAATTATAATACATGCTTCTATAAAACCTGGCAAATATCTTCCCTATACTTAGGTATGTCTTAGATTTGAAACCAGGGTCTAGCTAAAATTGAGTAGAAAAGCTTGAAATACAATTAGAAAAGAATTTTATGGGAGTGTTGCAGTGTTGCACCTTGGAGCCAGTTGTACTTACCTCTATATATGGGAGGTTGAGTTGGGGGAGCACAACAGTGTTATCCTCTCTATCTTACAGTGGTGGTTAAGATAAATTTGTGACATTGATATCTCTATCTAAGAATATCAAGAAAAAATAAAAATATTTCGGTCGAGTGTGGCGGCTTTGAGAGTTGGAAAACCACGATACTAACTACTAAAATATATTTTTATTTATAAAAAATGTAAATCCATTTCATCAACCATTCCCCCCCCCCCCCCAACACAACACACACACACACAATCCTTAAGCTTGTGGAGAAGGAAGAGGAGAAGGATAGGCGGAGTTGAATTTGTCTGTTGGGCTAATTAGGAGAATCACCTTGTTTGAGATAAGCTCCCAATGCCCTATTTTGAATTTCAATTCTAATATTTCTACAAAAAGTTATAGAATAAAATATATTTTTAATGAGTACAAAAAGTTATAGAGTAAAATATATTTTTAATGAGTACAATAAACAGATGAAACTTTATCTTTCAAATCTCAAAGAAACAGAGCTAAACGATTTAGAAATCACCTTGAATGGTGACATGTGATAGAGAGATTGAGATATGTGTTCGGGAGAGGGAAAAATATGAAATAGGAGAGTGAGGCGGCCTCGGGGTGAAATAGGGCATTTTCTAGTGAAATTTCCGACGGATTTTTCAATGTGAAATTAAATAAAAATTTTAGCAAAAAAATCCATCAAAGTTTTGTCGGCTCATTAATTTTTATCAGAATTTTTTGCGAAAATTTTATGGCATAAAATCTGCCGGTATTGAGTAAATTTCCTATAATGTGGCCTTAAGCATTATGCAACAAATACACCCCAAAGACTCGATGGATTGTCATAACATTGCTCTACCATCAATCACCACCACTCTTAAGAATCAAAATGACTATTATTCAACTATCTGTCCAATCTTCATCACTCAGCATATGATCAGTTAATAATAGCATGTTATGCGAGCCCATTATGCCTGCAATCACTCCAAATTGTCACACATGGCTCCTACGTTGTTGCCGACCTCAAAACCTCCTTAAGTTGGCCAAATGCCTAGAAATTCCCCATCTTTAGACCATAAACCGCATGTAATGAGATAAACTTATGCCCTACAAAGACTACTGGTTTAGAAATATATAGGGTGGAAACTAAAAGTAGAGAGATTTTGTTTTCCATCTTCTTCCTATAATGGAACCTTCTCCCCCTCCCCTACAATGGATACATGTCACTAGTCCAAACACTTAAAAATTCATTATGTATATCTGATTAGTTTATTTTTGATCATTCATATTTTAAATCTTAAACTTGTTGCGGGCTAGAATATACGCGGCGGTAGAGTTTACAAATTTTTGTCTGAGCGTTGCACGAATATTCAGCACATAAACATAAAAGAAAATGAATACCAGGATTTTTACGTGGAAACCCCGAAAGAGGGAAAAAACCACAGGGCTGTGCCCAGCTGAAAAGTTCCACTAGTGTTTTGTAAACTACAAGAAACTGATTCGTCCCACAAGTCAGGACGATCAGATTACAATTCGTTTCTTCAAACTTGAAGCAAATTTATAAAGTTCTGCAGAATTAAGACATCTCTCGAAAATCTGGCAGAGTTTAGGCGTATTCAGGCGGTGGAAAGAACTCCGGCGGTGGTCGAAGAGGAGATGATTCTCCCTTTCCCCTTCTTCTCTTCTCTTCTTCTTTCTCTTCTCACTTCTTGCTTGGCCCACCTCTCATGAGAAATGAGGGCTCTATTTATAATTTTTCTGGAGTGGCATGGCTTGTAAATAGGCGCGAGATCAGGGGTGAATAGGGAGTGGTTGAATGGACGGTTGATGTTGAATCCTTCGATCGTGCACCGTTCGTTGGACATTTGAAGGCCTTAGTGATGTCGGAATTCGGCTATCTTGGGCTCATTGGATTTGTCTCGTCGAGCCGCTCAATTCGAGTATAAGCTCGTTAAAATCGGAGACTATTTGGTAACTCAAATTGTGGTATGAGCTTTCCAACAGCACTTGGTGTCGTTGGGTTCGTATTTCCGAGTTGAATTTGGGCTCGGATTGAGTTGAATTTGGTGTCGTTGGGTTCGTATTTCCGAGACGCTCAGTTTGACTGTAAGCTCGCTGAAATCAGAGTTCAAGTGCTCCCGGATTTAATTTTTGAAGTTTCCAACTTAATTTTTGCCTCGAGATTAGTGCCCGATCAAGATAATTTTTGCATGACGTATCAAAACTATAGAATTCTAATGTGTAACGCCCCAAGATCTAACTTCGAAAGAATTTCAGTCAATCCATTAAAATCATCAATTCATTTACCAGAGCTATCTATAGTCTCAATCAATACCAAACAGTCTAATAAAATTCTATAATTTAAAACATCAATGTACAATTCTATTCATATCCCAAAAAATCATATACAATACTCAGGTTCTACACAATGATCACATGAAATGAAATCTATCCTGTCATGAGTATAAAAGAATCACTATAACAAAAAGAACAAAACCTGAGGATTCCAGATCAATCTCAATCTCCTGCTCCCTTGCTCTGACTTGAAAATATTAACCACATATAATGAGCTTCAAAGAGCCCAGCAGGTCACCTAATACCTATAATTGAAATCAAAGCACGGTACTGAAACTATGCATGTCAGTCAATCAAATCCATAACAGTCAATTGCACATGATCAGTGAATCTATGCAGATACGGAAAAATTAGTAATCAATGCGTGATCGATAAAATCCATAGTCAGCGGTAGAAGAATCGATAAACAGTAGGAAGAAATCCATAAAGCTCAATAAACCAGTACATACGATACATCTCGTAAAAATCCAATCAAATCAATAGAAGAAAATCATCGTCTCGATAATAAACGTTAAATCAATATTGTATCAATAAAATCGATCAAATCAATCATCTCTGGTCAAAATCAAACCAATACGTCGTAAGAACGATTGAAATCAAATCAATACAGTAAAATCTATTCCATATCAGTCAATGAATCATATGCAGCAGTTCAATACGGTGTATCAATGAAACGATAGTATCAATGAGTCAATATCAATAAATCAGTATCAATGAATCAATAGTATCCATGTCCATAATATCAATGAATCAATATAATATCGATATCCATATCAGTAGCAGTATCAATGCTCAGTGAAATAATGCGAATATCAATGAAATCGTACAGAAAATCCGTAAATCCGTCAATAAATAAATTTCAATACAAATCCGTCGATATTAATAAATCCATGAATCCATAACGCGATAAATAGGTCCATATGGTACACATGCAATTCAGTACAGTAGTCTTACTGAACAAGTACAATCACTGGCTATTAAGGCGTTTTTCGAGTCGATAATCCATAGTGCTGTTGTTTATCCGTTGGCTCAATAAGAGTCGTCACTCTGTGCCCGTCGGCCCCCCGTCGGCATAATAATCTTCTTATGACTC